GCAATTACTGGAAGTTTATTACTAATTTATTTGTTTCTGTTCTGAGGACTGAATCATCAGACTTGTTTGAAACATTGACATTTTGACTGAGAAACTAATTGGAGATGTTTTCTTCAAAAAAAAAAAAAATGAACGAATGATGTGTGAAAGGAATTTATTTTTCAAATCCAGATACAGACCACAACTGTAGGGTCCTTCCAGATGAAAGAGAGACAAACAGACAGGGGTGATTTGACTACATGCCGTAACAGGAAAGAATTTAAGAAGGGAATGAGTTCGGAAAAGCAATTGGTATGATTTTGGAAAAGAAATATGCAGCCGTTTGCTACCTTTTCATCTCCCCTTTCAGTTGTGGCTTCACCTCGAGCCCCTTCGCTTTGCCTTGTTTTAAAACGGTTCGCAATTTATTACTCCTATAACAGACGTCATGCTTATGAGTAAAACATCACACCTTAGAAAGCAAACGACGTCGACTCCTCCACCACAGGGTCAGCTCATGTGATCGAGCATGACAGGATGTGGAGCAGAAAAGAAAGTTACCCAACAAATGGCACCAATCCCTTAACCCCCCAGGATAATTACACCCTAGACAGAGGTGAGGAGCAAGAGGAGAATGTTATGGCTGCAGGGCGTGCAAATTTACAACAGTCTGCGTGAGTAATGCTCACTAGACTGGCAGCACTCTCCTTTACATGTTACGACAGGGGAGCATAATATGCCAATTAATAGTCAGCCTTTGTATTCGGGGCTGTTGTTTCGCATACTTGCCTCCACTGAGAATGATTGCTGCTTTGTTTTATATGTTGGACATACACAGATAAATCAGAGCGACTTGGAATATGTTCACACGTTTTTCATGTTTGGAAATTAAATTGCCCCAGTATCCAGTATCTCAAATTACCTGCCCTCCACTGGGATTGAGTCGGTCCACACATAAACTATGAGCTGCATACAATTTATCATTTAATTATTTACAAATGTCGACGGTTGTGCGAACATTCTGAGGTTTGGTTCAGACGACCAGGCTCCAATTAGGGACAGACGTCGGTGAATAGTTCGTGACACGCCGCACCCTACGGCCCCCTTCACAACTCTCGTAGCAGTTGTAGTGATGTCTTGAGTTAAGAAAGGAGCAGAAATAATCCTTGAGGGACTTTTACGACTTCAGATTGGAGCGTACGACTCTTAAGGTTTCCTATTTATATTTTGCGCATGTGTCTGCGACTTTTTCCGGCTCTTAATTGCCTGTATGTGTGGGGTTTTTTTTGGTATGTGTGTTATTATTGGAGTGATTGGGGTTTGGGGCCTGAGTTACTGTGTGTGGTGGATGTGCTGGCTGGCGGACAGGGGGGGTCAGAGGACAGGACCTCTCTCAGAGGAGTTGCTGTTAACCCCTGACCTTGCTGGTTAAGCCTGCAGGGTGGTGGCGGGCAAGGCGGAGGTGGGGGGCACTTTGAGGTCCGTCTGGTTCAGGGGCACATGATGGCAGGCAGAGGGGGTGGTGAGGTGTCTAATCTGGTTTTTGTCTGTGAGGCGTTTTCACCTCCCCCACCATCCTTCCTCTGAGAACAGAGTTTGAGAGGCAGGACAATGTCAAAGGGAAGTGACTTATTTTATGAGCCATTTAAAGGGGATGGTGGTCTCCCCACAAAGGAAAGGCAGAGAAGCAGCGCAGAGCCGATGAATGCCGTGACACACAGTCACATGTTTGTTTACAAGATGCTGCTCTCTTGTTTTGACCACCATAAATGGCAGTTTTCCTCTTTTAAGTGACACTGGAACAATGCTCTGTCACTCTGTCTTATTACAACTTAACTTGGGAAGCCGGAGGAGAGAGAGGCCCCCGAAAAAGGAACTCCATACGGCAACTGAGAGCCAGTTCACCCATCACACAAAGACTATTCATGCAGAGATGACTGATGCATCAACTGACAAAGCTTTCTGAGGCAGAAACATGTCAGTGTGGCGCTGATTTTTACAAGATCTAACTGCTCTTGTTAACTGTTCGCCCCTCTTTTTGTTCCAGCGGTGCCATTTTTCTCCCAGCGGTTTGAGAAATTGGCTGCCAAAATGTTTTCACAAAGTATGCATTAGCTAAGAATCTTCAGTTTTCAGAGACCTAATCCTTTGAGCTAACAATGTGACATTTGTACAGACATTCCTGTGAAATATTGACCATCTCACTTTTATTTGTGTACTTTGGTAACTAGGGCTATTTTCCACATGGATATAGCCCTTTTGATTGTACGCCTGCGCTGTGGGCAAGCAGGGGGCCCTGCTCGAGGAGAGACTGGTTGGCTGTTTCACCTAAAAGTTCAGCCTGTGTGTGTGTGTGTGCGCCGCTGCCTGTACCTCCAATCATGCTCGTACAAAGAGCCATGTGTTGAGCAGTGATGTGATGTGTGAATATGTTTAGGTAGGGGCTGCCAACTGTGCCTGGGTATGTGCGAGTGTGTACAGGAGGGGGCTGGGTGGAGTGGGGTGATGGTTGGACGGAGAGAGATGAGTTTGAGGAGAGGATTGTGAGAGAAGGAGTGACTTGAGGCTTATTTGGACTCGGTCCCAGACAGAGGGGTCCAGTTTATGGCGCCAGGGTGCATCCCTCCCTCTGGTGCCCTGTTTAGATGATTGTATTGCAATGAGTCACTTCTGACCCTGCAGTTTCATTTTTTTAAAAACATTTTAGTTACTATTTCAGACATGTTTTCCAACATGTCTGTAAACATGTTGTCTTCTGTCACTCGGTTCGGCGCTCAGCGTTATGTCTTGTTTACAGTGCTTTTTAAATAGTTTCTTGATAGATTTACAGTCACACTTGGTAAACTTGATCAAGAAAAGTGTCTATATATATGTCACCAAAGGCAAACCCTGTTCGCTAATAGTATTTAATGGGCATTTTCTATTATAGTCATAACTAGAAGGGCACTCAAGGCCAATGCCCTATCTCAGTTTTAAAGAAAGTGATCCACACCAAAATTTAATGCATTCTTCAGTCTGCATGCTCCACTTCTCCGAGTTTCATGAAATTCAACGGGGCAGTTTCTGCGTAATCTTGCTTAGAGACAAACAGACACATAGCATTGAAAACAACAACAAAACATCACATTAAAAAAACAAATCTGCATGGTTAGGTTGGCATGGCAACACACTGTACATGGCAAGCAGCCGTGAGGATAATCAGAAACCAAAATCATACAGTTGGATTTGAATTTGAGTTTAAACTGCAGCAGAGCAGCTTCAATCCAGCAAGTCGCAGAGTAGAAAGTGATAATCAACACTTTGTCAAAGCAGGACTTATTAAAGTGAGAAAAGCACCAGTTTGAGTTGGCTTTAATATGTTCATCAAGACAGTTCAGTGGATGGCTTGGCAAGGCTTGTGGTTTAGATATGATTTTTTTAAATATTTGATATTACTTAACTAAAATAAATTGCTTCAGCTTCTTTACGCAGAACATTTTCATGTCTTTGATACTCAGTCAAGGCTCAGCTAGTGAAAAATAAAAATGTATACCAGGACAAAAAAGAGATGACCAATGTTAAAGTCTGAAAAGAGCAAGCAGTCTATTCATAGGTATTGGTAATAGTGTAGTGTCGTCCCAGTGAGAAATTCAAAATGTTGTAGCGCTGAATAGAACTCTAACGCATTTCAAGGTTTTAGATACTATAAAGTTTGTCATGCTGAAAGAAGACCTAAAACTAAACTGACTTAATCTGGGATTGTGAATGAGTCTGTTAAAAAAAAAGAAAAGAAAAAGCAGCAGAACATCAGAGGCAGTGTTAAAGCTCCAGTGATGTATGACATGCAAGACGTGCAAGTAGCAGGAACGTGTGCACAACACACAGAGTCAGTGAGCACAAGCTGGTGGGGAAAACTAAACAGGCTGTTGGTGCTGAGATGCAATGAAAGGATCCCTGTGTTCTCCCAAATTCCAACAGCCACGTTTAAAACAAAACATTATTGCAGCTGCAACTTTGCATTCGTCCTCCCATGACCCGCCTTTTAATTGGATGTTAAACTCACTTTTGACAAAGTTGACAGTTTCTGGTTTATCAAAGACAATGTTTGGGTTTTGTCAGAGTAAAAGCACAGAGCAGTTTTTATTGAGGTTTTTGGCTCCATTCATGACCGTGTCCTTACTAATGTTATTCAGTTTGAACCGTTTTCCTATTTTTTTGTCTGAACATGTTAAAAATACACTGAAGTTGCAAAAGAGAGATAGTTTACATCTATTCGATCTGTTCACAGATAAAGCCTTGAAGAATTGATCACCTGACGCTCACATGCTGAGGGTCATGTATGAAAAGTCATACATTAGCATTTTCCATTAATACCAGACCAAGAGAGCTTTATTTTGGAAATCCTGTTGGCCACAAACTTGCCCTGTGTGGAAGCAACCCCAAATGTGATGAAAAAGTTTATCTGCTTTAATGTGTTTGTGGCTGAAGTCAGACCTCTCACCTGCAAAGTGGGTGAAAAGTTAATCCTCTCCTCTTAAAGACTGTGTTTTGGAAGGACACAGCACTCGGAGAAAGCTTCAGTACTGAACTATCAATCAAGACAGGGGAGTGCCAGGATAAGAGCACGGCTCTATAAAGTGGCCAGCTAAAGACTGCTCTGAGCTGAGTGTTGCAATTAAGTGCAGTTAAGGGGGGTTTAACAGCCAAGGTGCATTTAGTTTTGTGAAGGGTGAACCTGTTATTTAACAGTATAAAGGTTACATCCCAGACAAGAAGTTGTTAATGGCTGATCTACATTTATGTTTCTAAAAGGTAAAGTATCCACTGAAGTTGGCTCGTTTTCAGTGTTATTCTGTGGATTAATGAATGGAGCTTAAATTCTACATCTTCAGATTTAGTCACCTCCAGACACTTGCTGCTTGGCTCTAAACTGGCCTTGTTTTTTATTCTAAAGTAACAGTCTTGAAATATTTTGTGTTGATGTGACACCTGAGGACAGTTTTCTGTACGACGCCGTGTTTAACCTCCTCGTTCTCTTGCAGGAGCCCCCCTGAAAGTGTGTCCGCAGGGTTTCTCCTGCTGCACGGTGGAGATGGAGGAGAAGCTGAGCCAGCAGAGCCACACGGAGATCAAAGCTCCCGTCTCCAGGCTTAGCACCAACCTACAATCCACCTTCAAACAGAAGCACAGCCACTTTGACAGTAAGCAAACACACTTACACAAACACACACAAACATCTACAGCAGCCACTTTTTAGACTAAATTGTGCCAGTGGCCACAGTGTCCCCATCGCAGCACTTGTGTTGCACAATTTTTGACGGACGCTCCCACCTGCCAGTGCACTGCTCGGAGCGGAGACAGTCAGTCTGCGTCCGTTGGCCTGTCCACCTGTCTCTCAACGTCTTAGCTCCCTGCCTCATCGTGTCCCCCCCCACCCCCCATACCAGCTTCCCTTCTCTCCAGAGAGACATGCATGCTTCCAGACGGACCACACACATCTTCAGATTTAGTCTTCTCTGTACTTCCTGTTCCACTGTGTGTGTGCACATGTGTGTATGCCTGTAAATATTGGGATCATGTTTCTCCTGCGGAGGGCTGGAGCGCATGGGAACATGCAACAGTGCTGACTCACAGAGGAAGCAGGACAGCTTTGAATACCCTCAGCAACCCAACCATGCCACCACTGCAGCTCTGTGAAGAAGCTCGATAAGATAGAGAGGATGAGGACCCTCGCAGGCTTACTGGAAAAGAAAGTGTTGGATTTAAAGTTTCTAAATGCATGGGGATTTTGCGTGTTAAGGACGGTTATGTGCATAATTTGATGCGCCGCTTGGTGTGCATGTGCGTGCCTGTGCATATGCAGGTCAAAGACCTTCAGATCTTATGTGTCTGTGAAAGGCAGCAAGGGATAGTCAGTAACAGGGAGCGTATGTATTGCAGCCAGATGTGAAGAGGAATGTGACGTGTCGGAATGCAGTGGCTGCTCAAGCCGTCCCGCCCCTCTTTTTCTCTTCTCTTACTGCCCTTTGTCCCCATCTCATGCCTCACCCTCCCCAAAAACCCCTCTCTTTGCCCCTCAGACCCTTCTTCGTCTCTCTTTCTGTGTTTCACTGCATGCATTTCTCTAGTGCGTTCGCATTTGGTGCTGTCCTCCACGACTCAATCTGACTTTTCATTATGGAGTAGCCTACAAATTATTTTTTATTTACTCATCTAGGCTATCCAATACCAGCGAATTGTGAAAAAGGCCCATATCAAGTTCCACAGAATGTTTTCAAATGTCAAACCAAAGATTTTTAGTCAACTACAATAGAAAACCAGAAAAAATTTGTTTAGAAACTGAGGAAGTGAAATCAAGTGAAAATAAGTGATGCAGGTCTTCCTGTAAAACTGCAGAGGATTACAGAGAAGTGGAAAGAATTAAATGGTTCGTCTCTGTGTTTGATTATGAGGAACTGATACCAGAACCAGAACCACAATTGTCTCCACAATTTCCCCCATTGTTTTACATAGCTATAAAAAAGGTTGCTTTCACAATAAATGTGGCTTCAACTCAGAGTTTTTTTCTTCCTGATGTCACATTTGTTCAGTTGTAACGCATCAAACAAATCAAAAAAAAATGTTGAAACAGCCAGAACAACAGACTGTTGATGCAGAACATTATTGGGAAATCAGCCAAACAACAAAGTCATCCAAAAGGGGGCAGCTCTGAGGATGACAGTGAAACTTAGTTTACCTTCCTACCCCTTCGTGCCCCCTCCTCATCACTGCAGGCAGGTTGCCGCTGTCCCCAACCTGTTAGATGTGGGATCTCTTTACAAAGGCCTGCTGTGGTCTCTTCCACCTGGGCCATTAGACCGTCCCTCTCACTGGATACGGTGACGAGCTCGGGTTGCTGTCCCATTATTTGCTGTTGTCACATCGAGACACCCTGAAGGAGGCACTTCCAGTCGGCGAAACTGGCACAGGAGGTGTTTATCGTTGTGTTTACCGATACAGAAAAAATGACAGCGGCAATGGTGACATCAGCCGACCGCATAAGCGCACAAACACAGCTGCAACTGTACGCGAAGACAACAACATGCACTCGCGCACTAACAAACTCAGGAAGTGGTGTATGTGATTAGGCAGGCTCTCATCATGCGCCCAGAGCGAGGAGTCATGGCCAATTAAGACCAGAGCCAGAAATAGTTTCTCCCCTCTCTGTGTCTCGTCGCTGTGTGTTTGTCCTGGCCTCAGCCTGTCTGTCCTGTTGCAGTGACCCTGTCCAGCAGAGCAAGTCTATGTCTGGGAATTAAGCACTTGGATTAAGGCCCCCTTTGCCTCTGGACACTCACACAACAAGAGACATCCATCTGACGCACTGAGGTCCAACAGCAGGAGGGACAGAATCCCATCCCGTAAGAAAAGGGAGAAGCTCAGGGACTAATTGGCACAAATAGGATGCAATTACTGCCTGGGTTGGGATTGGGAGGAGCAGAGTTTATAGGGACACTGGTGGGAGGTGTGTGTGTGTGGAGGCGGGGGAGCTTCGTGGAGGAGGAAGTGGGAGGGAAGAGTGGGAGGAGATCGGTCAGCTCCTCTGTTCCTGTGATGGATTGGGCCTAAGATCATTGTACATAATTTAGGGCTTTCTCTGCAACATGTGGAAACGGTGACGGGGCGGGGGGTGGGAAAGAAGGCAAAGACAGATACTGGGAGGCAGAAGTCGTCCTCTTTCCTTACATTTCACCACAGCTTACGCTCTCTCCCGCATAACCTTTCACCCAGATTCTGTCAGACCATTGGCTGAGTGACAGGCACATTTTTAATGGAAAAATCCGGAGGGAGTGTTCAGCTCCTCGGCCTGCTGGCAGACGGCAGCGTGTCATAAACTGTTTTTAATGACAATGCAAGATGCCTGTGTAATGCTGCTCATGCCTCAGACCCCTCAGAGCCTCCACACCGCCTCCCGCCGCTCGCTACACCCCGCACAAGCCGCTCTTTTTTAACCCGTGGGTTTGTCCAAACTCATTAAGGGGCTTATCTGTTTAGCATATAGGCATTACCGCTCTAATAAACTGTAGAAAGGAAATAGAGAAGTTTAGGGTTGTCCTCGTGCTCCGTGCTGCTGCTTCCTCCTCCGCCTCCGCCTCCTCTTCACCTCCTCAGTCTCCTTTCACTGACTTTCAACTTGTGGCTACTATGACATTCCAGGGGTGGGGGTGGACGATTTTGTTTTAATCTCTATCAATGGAGCGTGCATTGGCGGTGCGTGTGTGTGTGTGTGTGTGCATTCGTGTCGGAGACGAGGGAGGGCAACGATGGCGGGGAGGTAAATGGAGGGGCTGCAGTGTTTCCGGTATCCTTGGCGACACAGTGGGGATTTGGAGTTAAAAAAGCCCTCAACTTAACCCACCCCAAGCCACCCTCGCCCCCCTCCCCTATCTCATTTTTTCTTTTTTAGTGTGTCAGTCTGAAGTGGAAGTGACAGCGCTACTCGGTGACTGTGTGCTGGTGGCAGAGAGCGTTTAGTGACTCCCCCTGTGAGAGCATGGGAACTTTACATTTCAAAGCCGCGCAGTGGGCACCCAGAGAAACTGCAGCGGGACACAAGTTTTGTGCACAAGGGGGCAGCGAGGGGGAGAAAGGATGGAGGATAAAAAAAAAAAAGGAGAGATGAGTGAAAGGGGCTGCATGCGAGACTGAAGGTGAAACATTTTTCAGAGACTCTGTGGAATTCTCATTTTGTCCAGATTAAGAAAGTTGGGGTGAGGCGAGGAGGGGGTGTCCGTGGGAGAGGGGGGCCTGGATTATTGGGGGTGGGGGAGAGTGGTGAGGGTGGAGGGGTGATGGACATTCCTCAGGATGAAGTAGGTCATTGTTCCCTGTCTCTAGTGAAGAGAGCTCTCTGAAGGAACTGATGAAGTGAAAGCAGCGGAGGGAGGGAGATGCGGGGCTGGATGGGGGGTACAGGTCCGTATACGGGAGGGGAGGGGGGTCGCATTATTCAGTAATCCTATTGAAAATGCCTCTGAAGGACAGTCCAAGAGAAGCCAGCAGAAAGGAAAGCGAATGGAATGTGACAACAGAAAAATGCCATTGATGGTGGTCAGTTTGAAGCAGATTGATGTGGAGAGACGTCGCCGCTGAATGGCCACGGAGACGAGGAGCAGCTCTGCTCGTTCAGCATGACGGAGATGCTCCACCTTTAACCCCTCCTGCCTCGCTCCTCTCATCTCCTCGTTTCCAGCCGTCCCGCAACGCATTCCTTCGCCTTTCATTCAAGGTTTTGTTCTTAAGCTGTTTCTGTTTGGACGCTCAGAATGTCAGGACATGGGCGCAGGTGAAGTGGAATAACGTCAGGCAGGGTGGCAGCAACTCGGGTCAAAGGTGTCGGTGGAGGACTCTATGTAACCAGATCTTAAAATGTACTATAATAGAGGCAGTTAATTGTACTTTGAAATGTTAATTTTATCAGTGTGACATTGATGGCAAAAAAAGTACTTTAACTCATGTTGGTATACCATGAATTCAACAATGTCTTTATGTGTTCTCTAAAGCTCTGTAACAGAATACCTACAAAGTCTAAATCTATTTTTTCCCCTCAAAATAATTCAGTTTAGAAGAGGTCGAGCTAAAGTTTAATTTAAAAATCAGCTCTCAGCCTCTGTAGCTGTTCGAAGCAATATGTTATCCTTCAGTTTCCTACATGACATATTTAAAATGCGTCCCTCCCTGTAGACACACTGAAATGTTAACAATCTAAGATTGTTTGTTCTGTGTCTTTGGCAACCTCAGGATTTAGCCATCACACTAAACCACACTTTCTTTTTTTTTTTCTCTGCAGAGTTTTTCCGTGAGCTTTTGAAAAATGCGGAGGTCTCGCTGCACAACATGTTTGTGCGAACATACGGGATGATGTACGTGCAGAACGCAGAGCTTTTCAAGAACTTCTTCGAGGCCCTGACGCGGTACTACATTTCCGGCAGCGCCGCCGTCAACCTGGATTCTATGCTGTCGGACTTCTGGGCTGACCTTCTGGAGAGGATGTTCCGGCTGGTCAACGTGCAGTATGAGTTCAGCGACGCCTACATGGAGTGCGTCAGCCGGCACACGGAGCAGCTGCAGCCCTTCGGCGATGTGCCGCGCAAACTCCGCATCCAGCTGACACGTGCCTTTGTGGCCGCACGCACCTTCGTACGCGGCCTGGCACTGTTGCCGGAGGTGGTCAACAGAGTTTCTACAGTACGTGAGAGCTGCTTTTGTCTTCGCTTAAAAAGGCCACGACAGTCAGTCTTCTATCAAACACTAGAATGTTTTTTCCTCTGAAGTCCTGTCCATCCCTCTTCTCTGTGTCTCTGACTTCATATCTTTCTTGGGAAATCTGGCTGTGCTTCCATTACACTGTCTCTGATAACATAAACCACTCTGACTCCTCTGGTATGACATGTTTTTCCACTGCAGTGAGTGATTCACTGAGGATTAGATTATACTGCTTTGTGGAGTCGGCTTATAAAATTAATGGTCATGCTTTTTCAGTATGTGTCCGTGATGGAGCTGGATGAGTGTTTCTTGCTGTGGTGCAATGAAAACAGTCTGCTAACTGCCCCCTGCCTCCTCCAGGTCAGCGCGTCTCCCAGCTGTGTGCGAGCAGCCATGAAGATGTTGTACTGTCCCTACTGCTCAGGCCAAGTGGCCCTGAAACCGTGCCAGAATTACTGTCTGAATGTGATGCGGGGGTGTTTGGCCAACCAGGCTGACTTGGACACAGAGTGGAACAACTTCCTCGGTAAGCAGGACAACACATGATCAAGGACACCGTCTGCAGCCATTATTAACTTAACCTGACCGTTCTTTTGTAGTAGCTTGAAGTGTTTGATTTGGCAATAGAGTGTATTTATACAACCTCCTGCCTCTGTGTTCGTTGCCACTGCAGTGCTCATATTTCACCAATGGTCATTAAAGTTTTATCTGATCTAATCCACTCTTTTCTGAACATGCAGCCCACTTTCACCTTGTGTGGTGCTGCTGGCACGACAGAGACATATTGCACTTCAGTTTGGCAGGAGCAGCCTTTAACAAATGAGCAGTGTTTTATTAACAATAATGCACAAACATGTCCCTCATTCTTTAGTGTCTTGTAAAGGGAGCGGGAGGGGCTGTACAAGCTGTACATGTTGTGGCCCTCAGAATGAATGCAGCTCTTGTGTTGTGTAAACAGACCTAGATCAGTTTCATTACATTCAGGGTGGTGCACGTATCCGCTGTTCTTTACTCTACGTGTTGTATTTATCCTACATGACAGACTCCTGTAACAAAAGCGTGATTTCTGACTTGTATGTCACCGTTTCATGCATCTATCTCTGGCTGCTGACACCGCTGCTGGTCTGTAGAGGCGTCTGGTTTCTGTTGCTGCAGCTTTAGTCAGCCACAATCTCATGTCATGTTTCGCTGGTTAACAGTCCCCCACTCTTGAGCTTGTGCTTCCCCCTAGTGGTAGCTTTTTTTTTTTTTTTTTATGATAGCAGTTTGCTATTTTCTCATGTGTTGATTTTAAGTTTAAAGTTCTTTTCTTCTGGTTTTCAGATGCCATGCTCGGTCTGGCCGAGAGGCTCGAAGGTCCCTTTAATTTTGAGTCCGTCATGGATCCCATCGATGTGAAGCTTTCGGATGCCATCATGAACATGCAGGAGAACAGCATGCAAGTGTCACAGAAAGTCAGTATCATTTCAGTGTTTTTGACAGAAAGTAACGAGAAATAAGTGCACACAGTTCCCCTCAGTTGACTAACTTTTGTTCCCATCCAACAGGTTTTCCAGGGATGCGGGATGCCTAAAGCAAGCATGGCTTTCCGCTCTACGCGTTCTGTTAAAGAAACGAGCTTTACTGGCCGCTTCCGCCCTTACAGTCCTGATGCAAGACCCACTACTGCAGCTGGGACCAGTTTAGATCGACTGGTAAGGATGACAGAGAGCACTGAATAGATACTCTTTAGCCCTTCTATACATGGGCTTTTTCAATTAAACTGAATGTGTCAGCTGAACCCATAAAGGACATACATGAAGTTATACAAGTGATTTGGCAAAGACATTTTCCACATTTCAGCACCAACATTGGTCCAAAAACATCAGAAGCAAAAGTGCAAAAGACAGTTTGCTGCCAAAAAAAACCCAAAACATGTGTCATTTACTCTTCTCTACATTCATTACAAGCGCGAAATGTAAATAAAAACAGGTCAGATCAGTGAGACTCACCTGGAATATATTTGTAATCCAGGTTCTGACCAAATGATAACAGGAGATGAAGTTCAGTTTGTTTCTTTCGGCTGCTTGTCTGAGTTTGATAAATATAAGCAGCGAAAGATTTGTGGGCCTGGAACAGCAGTAACTTCATTAATTACTTAGAATGATCAATTATCCCTGGCATGAAGACAAGATGAATCTGGATCTAACAGAAAGTCACATGGAGCCACAGTTTATCAGCTGCATAACTTAGATTTAATCTTTAGTGTATTACTGCATGCCATGACTATTTCCGTCACTGTGGAGGGTGTGTTTAAATGAAGCCGAGTGTCCTTTGTTTGAATGACCGAATGCGTCACTTCAGCAGATTAATGAAGCACAAATGGTACAAATCCCACATCTGAAACGGGCTTTGATTTGTTCTAAAGTATCTGACCTGTTGTTTATGTGTGTTTTTCACATCAGACAAGTGAGGTGAAGAAGAAGCTGAAACATGCAAAGAAGTTCTGGTCCACATTGCCAGAAACCGTGTGTGCAGGTGAGAGGATTGCACCTGGCGATGAGTGCTGGAACGGTACAGCAAAAAGCAGGTAAGATAAACATAACGCAAAACTGAATCTAAATGTAACTGTATGCAGCGTATTATAAGTCAAGTCTGACATCTTAACTTATGCTCACTTTCACTCTGAATAGGTACGAGTCAGTTGTCATTGGCAACGGACTGGCCAATCAGGTATCGAACCCAGATGTGGACGTGGACATAACAAAACCAGACACTATGATTCGCAGTCAGATTGCAGTTCTGAAGGAGATGACGAGCTGGCTCAAAGCTGCATACAGTGGCAACGACATCTCTTTTGATAACGGTGAGACTTCTTATCGAGCTTTATGATTTACTGTACGACACCCTGTTGGTCACATCTAATCCGTGTGTGTTTTTGTTTTTTCCAGACGAGGACGCCAGTGGAGGAGAGGAGAGCGGCAGCGGTTGCGAATCCTGCGATTCAAACGAGGACATCTACTTCTCCACCCCACCAAACCCCAGCAACCCGCGGGTCAATCTGGTACACTCTGATCCATCAGCCGGGGTTGCCTCACAGGGAAGCATGGCGCTGGCGCTCTGCGGGCTGGCCCTGGCCCTGCTCGCCCCCCACTTGAGATAAAACTGGCTGGGCAGGGACAGGAAGAGAATGACCAGAAATCACGGAGCGAAGGGGAAAACTGTCAGAGAGACTTTAAAAAGACTGCCTTCAGGACCTTGGACTGTCCGCCATTGGGGGGGAAGACTCTTCTTAATATTACAATAACTTCACTATTAACTATTTGTTTGTATGTTTATAAGGACATCAGTGTACAGCAATATGATTTTCTTCCCAAGAAATGCGCCTTTTCCCCCTGATAAACCTGTACTCCAGTGGCTCTTCTGAGGCTACGTTATGGTTCTGCTTGCAGCATTACAAACATTATAGAATTGTCTTTTTTGGCAATTTAATCTCATGATTCTTGGGTGTCTTCTGCAGTGATTGCCATCTGATAACTAAATATTACGAAAGATGTTTGGTTGAACAGTGAGTGCCTGTATTGGGACATATCTTCATATTTCTGAGGATGTTTTTTTTCTTTCCAATATTCAGAGATCAGTTGAGCACCAGACATGGAAATCATATAATGTTGTTATGAAAGGTAACAATTCATAGCAGCAATTTTGCACATTATGAATGTGCACACTGTGAATATTTGTGTCTGTGCATTTCTACATTTAGAAACATCAGCCAGTCAGAAATTCTGACGCTTGCTGTTGATCTCAGCTAAGGAGCAGTCTGAGCAGAACACAGTTCATCTCTCAGAAATACAGTGAGAGAAGTTGCAGCACAGGTATCTATGCTTCACCTGGAGATGGAATCATTTTTTTTAGAAGAGCCTACGGGGCGTTCTGCGAGCCCGAAACATGCATATTGTATGTCTGCTATGAGCATTATCACAACCTAACTTTTCATTTCCTCATTAATTTAATGTCTTCATCTAAAGCCGTTCAGTAGTAAGGTCATACCTCATGCATACTCTCATTGTCAATGCAATCTAGTGGTGTTAAGCTGAAAGTGTCAGATAGAGTTAGATATGTGGCCGGTGTCCCCCTGCCGTTACCCCTAAGAAGGCAAAGCTGACATGTCCTGAATGGCCTTTTTGGTACTGTAAGCTCAGTTCAGCACAGAAGATCTGACTCTATACAGTCTTACTGGTTTGAAACAGAATAAGGTGGCGACATGTACGTTCAGAGCGTTTCACATTAAACTAGAGAAGAGGAACAAAAGACAGTGTTTGATCAAGTGAAATCAAGAAAAGATTATTTTAATACAGGGTTTTATGTTGAGGAGGTGTTGTAATTTTTAGCTGTTTTTGGTATGAAGCTATATATTAGGTACTACAGTGGATTTTACTGCTAGTTTTAGGTGGTGGAAGAGGACGGTGTCCTCAGATAATGGGGACACTTGTGGTCAGTGTGCACAGTTTTGGGGGCTTTTTTTATTTTTTATTTTTTTTTATTTTGCCCACAAACTCCCCCGTCCCACAATACCAACTTGTACCTCTTAAATGGCCTGTGTCAGTATAAATGGACTCATCCTGAACCATTTGATCTACCTATCCTCATCCTCACGTTCTCATCATTTCAACTCGGTGTGGAATGTTGAAGTATTGTTACAGTTACTACCAAAATTAATGCAATGTATGGTGCCTGATTTTTTTTTTTTTTTTTTTAACTTTGGTACATTATTATCTTCTTAAGGTAAAAAAAAGAAAAGGAAAAAAAAAAAGTATGTAGATGTTGATGATTTATGATCTGTCTGCTCGATTCCCTGACGGGTGTTTTGAGTGTATTCTTACCAGCTGACAAGCACAATGTAAGATTTTCTCTGTCTTCTAATTTGATAATCGGGTCTGTAAGTTGCATTACCTGGCCATTTCATCTCTAAAATGATGCTGCCTTGTGTAGCTTTTGTACAGTAACTTATGCATGTGTTTTAATGTCATTGCAAACATGCCTTTAGAACTGACAGATTATCTGAAATACAGCACCCAGGATGCTTTGATATGAACAATTTAGGTAAAAAAAAAGAAAAAAGTATTTGTTTCTCAAAGTAATTTATTAAATTGATCAGATTTGGGGGCTTTAATTATTCATTTTGTGAATTTTTTTAAAACAAGTTCACATTTGTCTGCAGGTCTGAAACAATTAGATGTAGTGAAGAAGAAGAAGAACAGTAAACGATAGAAAGAACCCTTTTAGTTCTTGTTTGGCTTTCAGATTGACAGGTTGATTGTAAGCTTCTATTTTCTCAAAACAAATAGTTTCCACAAATCAGACGTCAACAAAGGACATCAATATTAACAATCTGACTTTGAAGGATTTGATGAAACATCTATGCAACCCATATAAAATACTGAAGCCTTAATTTAAAAGCACGTAGCTGCGCTTCAGCAGCTCGATTTGGCATTACTTCTGCAGGTGACCAGTTCAATTGTCCTGTTTTTGTGTTCCACCAACATTTCTACAAGGGCTTGTGCATGTGTTCGTGTCATGTGGAAGAGTTGTGTCGAGTGTGAAGAAACCCAAAGTTTCTGAGAGTCGGAGGAGATGTTTTGGGTGACGATGGTAAATGTCTGTGCTTGCAGGCCAGGGCAGCAGCATTTTCCGGCTGGCGGGGAGCTGGTCCAGCTGCTGGATGTTTGCTCATTCGATCCGCAGAGCAACTTCAGTCTCGTGACTTTAAAGTCGAGTTGGGCGGGTGCTGAAACCTGTCCGCCTGCCTTTGGCCCACAAGAGCAGAAAGGACTCGCTCTCTGAGCGGAGAGTGAGTGAGTGACTGAAAAGAATGAAAAATGTGTAAATAAAGAGCAGCCGTTTTTAGATGTCTCTAAAAGAGGCCTTAACAGTACACCAGATTTTTACATGTCAGAGTATCTCCTAAATGTTATGGAAAAAACAAGATGAGATAGATGTTAAATTGTAAGAGGAAAATGTATATTAAACAACATTTCTTAGTCTTGTTGAAATAAAGACTGCCAATATTTAACCGGGTGTGAATGTGTTTTTTCTACTAAACAGACTGGATTTGCTTTATTTTATCGGTACTGGTTGGTTTTGAACTTTTGACTTCATAGTGTGAGAAGTTTTTCCTGTTTACGATGCAAGATGCACACAGCTAGAGGGCAGAAAAGACATTTACACAAAGTCACAGTAACTTATACATAAATGTTGTCAGAATTTAGAAATCTTGCCATAAACAAGGAAGAATTGCCCTCTAAGCTAAGTTTGTGTGACACTTGTCCTTGCTTCTCTAAAGGTTTTTAACAGCGGCACAGATTGGTATACATGCTGAGTGTCGCTTGTTAATGTGACCCATAAGTTTCTCCTGAAAATGACATGCTGTCTCGTGACTAATTTAAAAGTGGTAAATAAAAAACAAACCTTTCTTCTAGATCATATCACGTGTTCTGTATAAAAACATCCACACATGAAAGGCAACACAACTCCAAAGAGCAGAGTGAGAAGAAATGTTGCAGCAAAAACATTAAAACACATCACTCATCAAGTTCGGTGGCTCTGTTCCACATCGAGTGTTCATCCCTAAACACTTCAGTCTTTGCAGATTCACGCTGTGCCCTGTGGTGAAAGTGCAAAAAGGCTTGAGGCTTGCTGAGACCCTGGTGTTCAGCAGTCAGCAAACTCACTGCACCGCACTCTTCCCCTCTAACGTACATGACTCTGCACATTTAGTCTCCAAAGTTTCTACTCAGCATTTTCGCTTTCCCCAGTTTCAGTACGTTCTTTTGTGTGTTACTAAATGATCTACATGAGTTTAACTGCCCTTTAGGAGCGTGAATCTTGCATTAAGTTAAACTGAGTCTGTCCAATCAGCACTTAGGCTTCAGCTGTGGCTGCTCTATTTTCCAGGCTTTGCTTGCAACCTTTTTTTTGTACTTTCTTGCATGACAGAAAAAAGAAGCTTTGATAATGCAAACACACAAGCCATACAGTGCATACAGTTCTCTGTTTTGCCCTGCAGGTTTACTTGTTTATGCATTTAGACCTTGAACAACAGTGGGTCATACTGTGGAAGCCCAGCTGTGACTGCAAACATCACAAACAGAGGTAGAGGTTGTGTCCAACTTTATTGAACCTGTATATTTTTACAGACATGATAAATTTATATTATGCAAATACACTTATACAAACTGTGTTTTAGTTAATCCTGATATGTAGTAGTTTCAATATATCTAAAGGTGTTTTTTGCCAACAAATTACATTTTAAAAAAATGACAGTTTTGCTTCACAGGTTTGAAATAGTTCATTTATAAGGAACCCCTCAAGGGTGATCGCTGTATGTTTTAAATTCCTTCCAATTCCTTCAGTTGGTGCGTTGGTCCAGTCCATTTATAACACACTGGAAATTTAGGAAAACACTCTGCAGAAACTTCAGCAAAGAAGAGATAGTTTGACGCTTTGTGCATTTATTGCTCATTAGTCACTTTAAAAAGGAGTTTCATTATCCAGCTGCTGGTTGTGAGCACAGCTGCAGCTCTGTCTGGCTGTGATTTAGCCCATGTTTTGCAAAATAATACACAGTGTTTGTGAGGGGTTGCAAAAGCAGTTCTCAAAAAATTCTGGCTGAGGCCATTAGTGGGCTCTGTAGAGTTCATGGATAGAATTTACTAAAAAAAAAAAAAAAAGAAAAGAAAATCATCTGAACAATTTGCACTGAAAAAATTGGAAAAGAAGTCTTAATAATTCATTGTAATAGTCTTGCAGGAAAAAAAATGTTGGGGTCGGGGTGCATTTAGGAGATTTATAATCTACAACATTGGTCATAATGTCAACTTTGCTATGATTGCAGCTCTCAATAAGGACACAATAAGCAATGGCTGAGTGATAGATGTGCACAAATTAGTCTCAAGACTGTGTTCAACACAAATCCACAACTGCAGAATTGAGATCTACAGATTATTTCTTGATTCATAAATCCCCTTTTAAAAGAGGACAATTGCAAATACTTTTTATTTGTTTGTAAATCATCTATACACATGTGTTCTTTTTAATATTTGGGTTTTGTTTGTGTAGTTGCACACCTGTGTTTGCAATCCATTTCTGTGAGTTTGAATTGTTTTTATACATGTGAAAGGTGTGTGTGTGTGTGTGTGTGTGTGTGTGTGTGTGTGTGTGTTTTATAACAGACCACACATTTTACACACAGACTGCCAATCTATTAACATAAATAATATTCATATAGATTCTGACACTTTACTGAGAAGTCACTTGTGTTTTCCTGTTTAATGCTGTGAAAATATACAATAGTTCTATGTTGCATCACATCAAACCTCCTCTCATCCCAAAGTTTTTATTAAATAAAAATAAAAATTACTAAACAAACCCTTTAGATTAAAAAAAAATTCTTCTGGCTCAGGCAGATCTGTCAAACAGTTTTGTTCTGGTTATTTTAAATCAGCGGTAACAATCTTTTCCCTTTTCACGCTCAGTTCCGCCCGCCCCGTTCACTATAATTGTTTGTGTGCGCCACTGAAACCTGTCCGGCGGAAGTTGTGCCCACGGCCCTGTTACAAAAGCAATGGCGAGCGGTATCGGCAGTGAGTAACATTTTGACATATTTTTTCGATAGTTTGCCTGATTTAAAGAAAACAGTTGCAACAAACAAGTTCCAGACAGTGTAGTTAATTCGGTTTGACGGGTCTCTGGTGCCGTGCTGCTTTATAAAACGTTACACCGCTTTGTAGCCGTGTGTGTCTCATGAATGTGTCCCCCTCAATCAGCATTGCTAAGCTAACGCTAATATTTACATATTAGACTACTGTGTTTTATTGTTTGCTGAAATGGGAGTTTTAGCTATTTTAGTAATTTTGTTGGTTTTTACTTTACAATGAATCTCAAGTATTTGTCACTAACACGACTCACAATGCTGTAATACATTTATTTGGCATTCTCGGAACACGGCACAAGCTAATATCAACAATGTAGCTAACTGTAGCGAGCTAACTTTGGTAAATAATAAAACCCTTTAGCTAGCTAGCTTGAGCTGCTGCGGGTTTTTAAGTTTATATTTTCTTATATATTTTATGTTTAACTACATCATTACTACATTTAAAAAAGTGTACGGTTTAAACTAACTGTAAAGAGACCGGACCGTCATGTAAACGTTATCACAAACCAAAACAAATTGAACTAACAAAACACTGAACAGTCAGCTTGAGATTATAAACCACCAGAGAATGTGAAATACAAGAAAGATTAAATTATTATACCAGTTGTAGTGTCCTTTAACTCATATTTTGTGTTGAATATACGTGGTTTGTGCGTTGTGTACATGTGGACTTGTACTGTATGTTGTGAGAATGTTGTTATGGCAGAATTTAGCAGGTTTGAGAAAGTCATCATAAAAATATGTTTCATTTAAGTCGATATCTATAATTTCTGTTTATTTTTTAACAACTTTTTTCTAAAGAGAGCCAGGATTTAAAAAAAAAAAAAAAAAAAAAAAGTTTCATTGCAGTCTATCGGCTTTAGCCTATATTTAAGGTTCCCAGGTGAACATTTAAATTTTAAGCAATGAAAAACGTATACAAACACATTCATCTACACATGTAATTTAAAAAAAAGATTTCACACGTACCTGCAGCTGCCAATAGGAAGTGCAGCAAAGGGCGGAGGGGCTCTGTTATCAGGAGATTTCAAGCCGGGTAGGGCACACATTCAGGGTTTGTTCATGCCACCAACCTTCATGTTCTTATTGTGTGCTTTTTTAGTGGTTTGCATTTGATGCATGTAAGTGAAACTATCAAAACACTTTCTTTACATCTCTTAAGCAAGTCTCTGTCACTGCTACTTGTTGTTATTCTCTGCCTCAAATTAAACCAAGTTTGAAGAACTGTGTCCAAAGTGCAGTGACTTTTGTTTCAGCTGAACGGGCTGACTCTTCTGTTCCAGGCTTGCTGCTCTCATCTGTGGATTTTGACTGGACTTTGTGTCCTAAAAAGTATTTCCATTAGCTAGTAGCAAGCTAGAGGCTACCAAGAATATCTAGACATGTAACAGTTTATCTTTATGTTTGCTCTTTTTTTTTTCGCAGAACACAAGATACTGAATGTCGGGCCGACGGAGCCCTGGTCAGTCAGGGAGAAACTGTGCCTGGCCTCCTCTGTTATGAGGAGTGGCGACCAAAACTGGTAAAAACAAATAACTCACACAAAAATCTGTTTTTGCCATTCACAAATAGGACACTGCATCATTCAGTGAAATATGTGTAACACAGAAAGGTGACAAATTAAAGGAACAACCTACATAAAGTGTCTTCATAAGGTTTTGAGTCAGAATCGCTTCAGTGCCTGTTCGCATTGATTCTGTAAGTCTCTGGATGCACGCTTAGATGCACATACGTGTAACTGTATCCAGCATGTTGTTTATAGTCCTTGCACATGTCACAAGTACAGAGCAACAAGTGCTTGTGACATGTGCAACGACAATAAACTGATTCTGCTTCTGATTCATATTGTCTCTGTTATATCTAGATTTTTATATTTTTGTCTTGCTCTCAAAGTGAGCAGTACAACAGCACAATGTGTGCAGAAAAGACATCGACCACAAGTGTTGTATGCGACTTTGAAAATTGGGGGTTTGTAAGACAACACAAAAATCAAACAATATATATATATAAAAAAAAAGCTAAACTGTTATAATTCCTGAAATTAGGATGTACAACTGAGTGTCCTTAGTCACCACATACATTTATTTGATCGTCTTCTCAACATGCGTGTTTACTCTGAAGTGTCTCTTTACCTTCCAGGGTGTCTGTAAGTAGAGCCATCAAGCCTTTCTCAGAGCCTGGTCGTCCACCTGACTGGTTCTCACAGAAGGTGAGAGAGCTACGAACCTACACAGCAGTTTCTGAATTTGTCAGTTGAGCTTTGCTGCAGCAAGACTGAACTGAATAACACTGTTTCTCTGTCTGTTTCTCAGCACTGTGCCTCACAATATTCTGAACTGCTTGAAGCCACAGAAGCACCAAAGTCAGTATTTCAACACAGATGCACATCTATGTGCAGAATAATGAGAAATTTGACTTAAAGTGTGTGTGCTCACTTTGCCTCAGGCGTAAACGTGGTGAGAAGGGTGAGGTGGTCGAGACCATCGAAGATGTCATCGTTCGTAGGTTGACCGCTGAGAGAATAGAGGAGCTGAAAAAACTGCTGCGAGACACACAAGAGCAGTACAGGTACATAAACATTTTAATGGAGGACCTTTAATGACTATGAGATATGAGATTTAACCTCGTTCTTGTTCCTCGTCCTGACAGGAAGTTGAAGAAGGAGGTGGATCTGATACAGACGGGCCACATGGACTCCCAGCTGAAGGAGCTGTGGGCAGAAATCACACTGTAAGACTCTCATCTGTTTGAAAGTAATTGCCAGTTTAACACTTTGGACCAGAAAGTGAAACGTCTCGGCTACTATTGGATGGTTCACCATGAACTTTGGTCCACACTTCCATGGTCTCCAGAGAATGAATGATAATAATTTTGGTGACTCCGTGACACACGTACCTGCACCATCTGGTCAAAATGTAGACTTGTCCAAAATTCTTTAGCTTTGCAATTAGCTTAAGATGTTGTGTAACACGTGCAACATTTTGTCGTCATGTTTCACCACGTCAGAGTTCACCATTCATACCGTCTTGCTGACTAGTAAAACTGTAGTTGCCACTACGCAACAGCAGCTGACTATTACTCACACAGAACAGAGGGTTTTCCCTTTTGGCTGTGGTGTCAAACACAGTCTCATCTCTCTTTTACTGGCACTGATCCTTACATTGTCAGTCGCTCAAGTGTTTTTTTTTTTTTACTCCAGAAAGAAGAAGCAGGAGGAGGAAGAAGCAGAACAGAAGAGGAAAGCCACAGAAACTGCGTACCAAGGTAACTTAAGTTCAGTCTCACTCTGGGAAGATCATGTGGGTATTTATTGCTGAATACTTTCCTCTGTCATAGCTGCTGCCTTTGCACTATGTGGAAGATTTTGAAGTTGCATCAAAATACAGTACATTTTAATAGATATCTGTCACATATAACATTTGCTGTTTTGCAGAAATAAATTCTTAATGATCCCTGCAGTCTTGTACAGTTTTATGTTAAGAGCAAAGATGCACCGATGTCAGTGGTTACGTAATGGTGTTGTGTATATAAAACATTTAGTGGTACACAAAGACGTTACAACAAAACCAGAAGAGAAGATGAAATATGCATTTTTGTTCCAGCAAGGGGGTGTCCCAGTCTGGAAATGTGATTAATCTGCTGGAATTTCTTTGGGTTCTTGGAATATTTTTTCTTAGTTATTTGCTTAGGAAAGAGGATGTTTCTTGGTACTTGGCTTGAAATTGTACCATCACATGATGCCTTGCTCATGATTTCTGAGCTGCACTTCTCTCTGATTCCTTGAGGTGAGTAAGAAAATCGATTAATCCTCACTCTCGCTCCCCCCCCGACCCTCTGTTTCCATCAAAGCTCGTCAGGCCGTGAAAAACACACCGAAGCGTCTTCCCAGCGTCACTGTACGTTCTCCCCTGGGCACCAGCCCCCCAACCATGGATTCTCAGGCCGACTCTTCAGTCCCCACGCCACCCATGGATACAGGAGGCGTTTCCTCCGATGACACCACCACCCACTCAGTTGTAAGAACACAGGGTTTGCCTTATTTACACCTTTAGCACTGGGAGATAGGCTGGGAAAACCAGCACTGCTCCCAACAGGCCGCACACTGAAAAACTGTCACACTTCATTTTGGAGCAATATCAACACATTCCACTTGTGCGTTATAGATACTTTGTGCAACATCAGTTATTCTACATATACAAGATTCTGTACAATATCAGTTTTTCTACTTGTGGAAGAATCTGTGCAGTACCATTGATATGTGCAGAATTAGAGTCATTTTCCACATCCAGAGGATTCTGTGCTGAATATCCACATATGGAGGAGTTAGTACTTCAAATGTCCCCACTGTGGCATTAATAAACACTTATCTAATCTTATCTTACAGACAGATAGTGCCAGTGCTGGGAGGGAAATGGGAAATGATTTTATTTATTCAGCAAAATAATTTTCACTCCTATGAGAAGAAATTCATTTCCCTGAACATATTTATATTAGCAGTCACTTCAGTTGATTCAGGCTTCATTGCACAGGATTTTGGGGTTTTTACATAAACTGTAATTTGATATCAGGATGTTTAGCCACATTAAGTCCTCAGAGTTTCTGTTCGTAATGATTTCTTGAGTTAGAAAGCGGCAGGGACTTCACTGTGACCTCTACAAAGAGAGAAAAAAACAATCTCACATTATAGTTTGTAGTGAAAAAATACTGTTAAACCTCCTCTCATGGATTCTTTGCTGCCTCTGCCAGGCCCAGGGGGTCGGAGTGTTTCTACCAGCAGCGGACCCTCCAGGACCGGTGCCCAAAGATGGAGGACTGGCCGCTCTAGTCGATGACTCACCACAGAAAAGGCTCCTAACTCAGAAAGCCACGCCGCCGCCCTCACCTCTACTCTCAGAACTGCTGAAAAAAGGCAACCTCATCTCAGCCAGCCCCCGCCTGGTGAGAGGCAGCTTGGATTTAGTCAGAGCATGCAAAACTACGAGAGCAGAGATGTAACGTTATGTAAAACGATGAAGGAAAAAGAGAGACTCGATTGTTATATACGAGTGCATTTAAAAAAGAATAGAACATTGTGATTTTTTTTTCTCACAATTTAATTCAAAATGATAAATTTTCTTATATACTGTATTCATTAGAAGGCGTTTTTGGTTTTATTTTAGGTGATTATGACTTTTCATGTTGTATTTCTGATTTTCATAAGCTATAAGCCATAATTATAGAAATGAAAACATAATAACATTCTCAGTTATAAGATATTTCATTCATTCATTTTTTTTAAAAGCAGTATTGATTTAAAAGAGCTTTGCTACAATATTCTAATTTAACAATAAATAATATTGTTCGTTTTATAATAGGTCTGGTTTAATGGCTCACTTTCTTTGCCTTTATTGTATTTTTCTGGTGACAGGTTGCGGAGGGAGACTCTGCTGGAAGCCTGACCAACGGAGTACAGACGGCAACAGCAGCTACTGCTTTACCACCTGGTCATGACATCATTACAGGTACATTTCCTTTGAATGCCTGTTGGTGCATGCACAAACAGAATGAATAGTGCCTACTCATTTTGAAGGATGATTCTTGGAAAAACACGACCTCTCTAACTTGTTTTTGTGCGTCGAACACTTGCTTTGGTCGTGATCTTGGGAAATGTCTTGTGTTTAGTGACAATGTACCGACTCTACACTTTGTGGCCAGTAAACATGCAAAATACAGGAAAAGAAACATTTTAAAAAGCAAAGTAAACAAACCTGCTGCTGTGGTGACCGACACATAGCATATACTGAGATCTCAGTTTCCTCCATCTGGGCCAACATTGTTGCGTGTCTCTCTTTCCCCTTCATTTGCTGACATTTTTCTTCTATTTCTGAATAAAGAGAAGAATGTCCTTCAAACTACACACTGCCAAGAAAAACCAAACAAACAAATTGTAGAGTCATGTTACTGGTCGACATGACCTGCTATAAATTCTGTGTGGTTTCGTGAATTTAGTTTCCGTCTATGTAACCAGGTCTTGTTTAGGGTCACTGCCCTGTGGTTTGCAGAAGATGATTATTCTGGGTCCAAACTCAGAGTTTTGCTGTGAGGTCTTTGTTCTGTGCTTTTGTTCTTATTTACTCATCCGTGTGGGTTTGCAGAAGGTGAAGCTGAAGCCACAGTGAAGGCAGAGCTCGCTGAGGAGACGGGATTAGTAGAAGAAGACCTCGTAGCGGTGTCTTACATGGGAGACGAGCTGGACCTGGAGACGGTGGGAGACATCATTGCCATCATAGAGGAAAAGGTACATATAGCGTGTATATAAAAACGGGTCACATTCAAAGACAGCAAGCAACCACTTTGGTTACACATGTGACGAAAACATAAAATCTGACATAAGAACCTTTCAAACTCGCTAATATTTGGTCACACACTTGTCTGAGGTGCATACGTTGCCACAACACTTCTCTGTGCCAAGTTGCAGCAACCGATGCATGTGATGTATTCTGTGAATTGTAGCTTCACAGAAACAACGTGGGTTACACTCTCCCCCTTTGAGCCGCCTGAATCTGTGCATGCACATCAGTAGTGCCAAACTCGCCATCACCACAAGTACATTCTTAAGCCATGGGAAAGTCAGAGATTGGATAGAAGGACTAGTATTTATTGGAAAGAGTGCGACTAAACTATGGCTGGGAACAGAGGTTTTGCTGTCGGAGCATCCACGTTCAGAATTAAAATACTAAAAATGTAATTCGTTAAAAATGCGATGCGTCAGTGCAACCAAACAGTCTGCTGCCCTGAAATCAGTTTGCCTTCTTCACCATCAACAAAAGAGGCAAGACTGACTAGAAACAAAGCTATTTACGTAGACTCATTTTAAAGCTTTTTACACTAAACTGGGTTTGTGAAGGTAATAGTGGACACCCAGTACAAAGTCGTCAACAGAAAGTGTCTCACTGCACCAGTTTGTGGAGTATTTGCTGCCAAACATTGCAAAGGCAAACAACTTTTAAGCACCTCATTAAATACAGTATTCTTACAACAGATCTCAAAGAGAGAAATTTGCTTTTGGTCATTACAACACTTACTAGCGTAGTGATTTCTGCCTTTTTGTTGACCTTTGGGGTGTTTTTTTTTCTTTGCTTACATGAACTTCACTCAATCAGTCTTGCAGGTGCTTTATCTTGGCTTATGTGGTAGATACACACACACACACACACACACACACACACACATGAACTGTTTGACCTGCGCACAGTGTAGAAAAGACAAACAGACCAAATATTATATTACATAAAGAACATCTGCTGAATCATTAAGGTCACATGGGGCATGCTCAAGTTTTGTGTGTGTGGTCAGTTTTCAGCACATAATGATTTCTCTTCTTTCTTCCTGTGTGCTCGTCTCTGTCCACCATCCCAGGTCGATGACTCTGTGGAGGCGTTGGATGCAGCTGCAGTGGAAGCAGCTCTCTCGCTGTGTGAAGAGGCTGTTTCAGAAGGTCACACCCTGCCCGGCCCCTGGGAGACCCAGGAACTGAAGGCGTCCGACCCCACACCAACAGTGCAGGACTCTGATCCCACACAGGAACCTCAGGATGTGGCCACGATGTCGGCACCGGCCACTGCCAGCCTGGAGACGCAAAATCAGCCGGACGCCAAAAGAGAAGAGCAGCTTAAGGGAAACTGCGAAGGAGCTGAGGTGACGGGGAGTGATGTCACGTCCTCTGTTGCCTCTGATGACGGTGCAACTGGGAGCGAAGTTACAGAAGAGGGGGCTGCAGCGAAGGAGGCCACTGAAGCGACAGTGAAGAGTGAAGGAGAGGAGTGGAGTCAGCCTGAACCGAACCCACCTTGCCTTGGTGGGTGGCAAGCACGTGTAGACACACACGGAAATACTGCTCACATATTCATATCCTCTAATTCTCTTCTCATTTTGTACTGCAGACTCTGAGGACAGCTCTGTGTCCGGGAAAGAGTCCAAGGTAACACGCTCACCGACACATATTCACAGCATTTGTAAATAAAAGAAAAGCTGCCATTTTACTCTGTATGTGTTGAACCCAGGAGGTGAAGGAAGAGGAGGCAGGCAGTGAGGGTGACCCTGAAGAAGGGATGGAGCTGAAGGAGGAGTGTGGGGAGGGTCCCTATCTGTCGGAGGTCGAGCGGGCGGCCAGTGAGAGCGAAGACGGCTACGGTCCACCCTCCCAGCGCTACACTGCAGATTCACTGGCCAGCAGCCCAGCCTCGTCCTCACAGCTGTAGGTGTCCGTGCCCGCAGAAAGGACTGTAACAACTGTGTCATATTATCACACAGGAGCGGTGCCCTAGATGCAGGAAAAGTGAAATCAGAAGCCTGTGTGAATTTCTGTCCTGACGTAACCCCCATCCTAACTGCAACCAAGCATTTTAGCAGAAGTAATGCTTTATAAATGCATACAGCTTAGCTCGCATTTGTCATGAATATTCATGTCATGACCTCTGAATCAGATTAGGACTCCATTTCTCTGAGCTAAGCAGTTTCTGACCACAGCCATAAAAAAGTCTTAACAGCATTTACTTTTGTCTCTACTTGTCACTTCTCCTCTGACTTCCACTCACTGCTGACGGTCATCTCTTCATTCCCCCTCTGCCTTTACTTCCTCTCTCCTCCTCTTCCTCTTCTGCTCCTGTTTCTGCTTCAGCTCTACGTGTGGTGAGGATCAGGAGGCCGTCCAGGCGCAGAAGATCTGGAAGAAAGCCATAATGCTGGTGTGGAGAGCAGCAGCCAACCACAGGTAGAGCTTCATGGATGACCTAAACCATGAATCACTGAAGTCTATTTTGGTCAAAATAAAGCACCCTTAAGTTTTAACATCTTCACAGATATCTTGATAGTATTGAGCTTTTGTCACTGAATTACCGGTGGCTAATAAAATCATTAGTATTTATTTATATGAGCCACATTAGATCCAGTCATCCTCTATCAATATATTCTGGTGAATAAAACCCCCACATGTGCTGAAACCGTGCTTAGAAAGTGACCTCTGTCTTCTCAGTATTTGAGCTGCTGCTTTACATTTGACATTTTGTGCCTAATAAGTACAAACAGAAGAGGAGACCAGCATGTTGATCATATCTAATATTCAATAGCAGCCAAGAACATATAAAAGTCAAGCATTTCAACAAGTTTCAGATGTAAGATTCATTAAACTAAGTTAACCTACAGAAAATGAGATGGTTGTTTTAACCCATTAGGGCTCAAGGTGACTTTAAAACACACATATTGCATCATGTACTGTACAGCAGGTTCAGCATATCAAAGGTATCTTTTCGTATCTGGCTTCACTAAACCTAAACACAGTAAGGCTAAGCCATCACACAAAGCTGGTTATTAACTCAATAAACCAACCCAGAAAAAGGACAATGAAAGGAGCCAATCACAATCATGGTAGGGTGTGGAGCCGCATTTTTCTCACAAGAAGAAACAAGAGTAATCCTGAACCAATATTAGGAGTTTGAAAACATGTTACAGGCTAAAAGCAACACAGCTGCTGGAGCAGGAAGGAAAGGTGTCCAAAAAAACACAGATTGTGTGAATGTACAAGTAAACAAGCTGATCAATATCACTGTCCATCTGTGTATAACTTGCTTAGATTTTGTAGTCAAGATTCAGTTTAATTATCATCATGCACCACTAGATTTATATAAAAAAAACATAGGTGTTGTCCCTTAATGCTGATTATTTAAAGAATCAAGTAGTACATGTAAAGCTGTTTTCATTGTGATGTGGAACATGAGTTCAGTCATCTCATGCAGTCTCAAAGTATTTTTTAGCATATATACTTTCAGCTGCAGCATCGGTGGTGGCAAAAACATCATTAAACTGATAAGGTTCTGTAAATCTTATAAGGTCAACACGTAGCTATCAGGCTTTAGTGCTGTAGTCAGTTTCTGTTTTGGGATTTTATCGCTGATTATCTGTGAATGGTGATGGAATTTTACAAGAGAACTGATTAGATAGTAGGTGTTGTTTTTACGTGTGTTGATCTGTTATCTCAAACAACATAAATTACCGTGGTGATGAGGGTCAGTAAGAAGGAAACCACCCTCGAAACCCTTGTTACCTGAAGTTACCTCGCTGACCTCAAATCCTGCTTCATCGTACGGGCCTCTGCTCTTAATAGGTCAAAATGTATGCTGACATAATTACGACAAAAGCAGGTCTAATCTGGGACAGAGGCACTGCAGGTGCTGCAGGTGCTGCAGGGACAAGTTCTTCTGCAGCTGTGGAGAGGAAACAGGTGTTTTACTTTTGGTACTGTGTGTCTCTCAGGTATGCCAGCGTCTTCCTGCAGCCTGTGTCAGATGACATCGCCCCCGGTTACCACAGCATCGTACACAGGTCAGACTACACACATACATGGACTCATTCCCTGTTTTCAGTCAAATTTCAGTCGTATGCTTGCAAACAGATTGTATGAGGACTCCAGTCTGGCACAGGCTTTTGAATTATCACACCAAAGCAGACTTTTATTACAGCCTGAGTGTTGTGTTAAGTGTACTTGGTGCATTTCTACACCAAAATTCTCCTTCACAGCTAATAGTAGCACAAACTTTAATAAACACATCTCTTCTCTGCTACGCTGCCTCCACCTCTAATCCTGCTCCAGACCCATGGACCTGTCAGCCATAAAGAAGAACATCGAGTCCGGCGTGATCCGCACCACGGCTGAGTTCCAGCGCGACATCATGTTGATGTTTCAGAACGCCGTCATGTACAACTCGTCAGACCACGACGTGTACCACATGGCGCTGGAGATGCAGCGTGACGTCCTGGAGCACGTGCAGCAGTTCCTGGCCACCCAGCTCATCATGCAGACCTCAGAGAGCGCCATCTCCGCCAAGAGCCTCCGCGGCAGGGAGGGAAACCGTAAGCCTGGAGAGCCGGCTGAGAAGGTGGGTTGGGCAGCGTGGCGGGGGGGAAATTATGCCTCCTTTAAAAAGGCTGATTTTGATGAAGAACTATGCTTTAGCAAAATCGAAACAAAGCTTCCAAGTCTGAAGATGTCATTGTTTTGAAACTGAACTTTTTATCTCTCAAACTGTCCATTTAGTTTCTCAGCTTCTATTCAGTTGAACTTCCACATCTATATTCTTGTCTATGGACCTCAAACAAAATCTCAACTTTATCCAGAGACGAGGTTTTAATCAGAATCACTGAAAACAGCTGTGTAGGTGTGCAGGGCATAGATAGATAGATAGATAGATAGATAGATAGATAGATAGATAGATAGATAGATAGATAGATAGATAGAATTTCAGTCTAGTGTCCTACTACATATGGAAGATGTCATATGAATACACATAAACATAAAATATGAAAGGGAAACTCTGCCTGGAAGGACCATTGCAGGCTCATTAAAATGTCTCAGTAATGTCAGTCGTGCTTTATGAATGGGGACAAATTTTTAGAAATGTCATGAATGGATGAGTTTCACGTTCTGTCTCCTTTTCACTGACGGTACAGAAACCTGTTGCCATAGCAGTGCACTTATGTTGTGTTTTTGTTTAGTTAACCATAGTCAGTATAATTCTCAAAAAATCCAGTTTTAATGTGCAACCCTCTCCAATTCAGAACCAAACATGTTATTGTCTGCGCTTGATGGTTCCCACCTGCTGCTATATTGATATTTTGATGGGTTCAGAGCTCTGGTGTGCTCCAACTTTGTGGCGTTTAAATTGACTTGGCTGTGTTTAAGCACCTGTTTCTTGCTGTGTCAGTTACAGATTATATACTTGATCATGAGGCTGCATTGATCATCACTGACGCGTGCATCGGTTCTGACTGTACATGACGTTAGATTAAACCCATATGCTTTCATACAACCACACAGTTTTGCCACTTTGGTTAAATTTCTTGCCATTACTATACCTGAGTCATGCCACAGCACTCTGCTAATGTGTTGTCTACATGTGTAGTATCTGCTGGTGTCTGGTATCAGAAGCCTGTGATGCATTTAGGACACAGTGAGCGCAGTATTGATTGTATGTAGAAGGTTAAAAGGAGGAAGTCAGACCTGCATACATTGTTGTACACATCACACGCTGTCTGTTCGACTTCAGTGGAATAACTGACTTGATGTTGACTTTCCAGCTGATTCATGTCCTGCATGCCGGCTGCACCTCTCCTCTCCAACTCCTGTCTGCACCTGCCTGTCACTGACTCATGCTCGTTTATCCCCGTCTGTCTGTCTGTCTGCATACGTCCACAGTGATATATATATATATATTTCTTTTATTTGGTGCTGTGTATTACTTTCTCCAAGCTGTATGAATGTGAGCGTCTCGATTGTGTGTCTGAACAGAGTCTCTGCTACTCATGGCGTTTTTTAAAGTATCATGGAGTTCAGAGGTGTCAAACAGAATTTGGGAATTAGCAACGGTTTCTTGGGAAGTCCAAAAGTGTTGTTGAATTTTGCAAATGATTTTCATCACAGAAAATGTTCACACCACCGTATTAAATGCTTTAATCTGTGGTTCTGTGGTTGCTTTTGGACAGTAAACTCAACTGGGCTTGAAATTAGGCAGTCAGACCTGATTTAGAGCTTCAATAATAAACACAAAATACCATTTATAGTTCATGGATGAGCTATGATTGGAGTCATGATATTTTTCATGGGAGCCATGACGGGAACTGTTGTGTGTAAATGGGAGCGTGCCTGACTGCTTTGTATATGCCCGATTGTCTTCGGTGTATTTCTTTGTGTTTTTGTGTCTGTACATGTCATTCTCTCAACTTCCTATCTGCATTCGTGAGTTTGTGTGTGTGTGTGTGTGTGTGTCTTTTTGATGTTCCGTCAACACAAGTGCGCTTGTGAACGTGCCGTGCTGAGGTTAAGTGGACGCCCGTCCCTCCGTGTTTGACGCAGACTTGTATGAAACTTGCTTTCTCACGCACGTCTGTGTGTGTTTTCTTTCTCTTTCTCACTCCAATGTTTGTCCTCCTACAGGACAGTGTCCCAATGGCCTCTCCTGCTTTCCTTCTCTCTCTCTTTGTAAGTATTCAGGTTCTCGCTCAGATCTCACCAGAACCAGGCCACGCTCTGCACACGCTTGTCTCAACGCAAACACTCTCAGCACACATCTGTCTACACCTCTGATCTCTTTCCTTTCTCTGTCTCTTCATTTGCCGCCATTAAAGGAAACCAGTTGTTGTTTTTTGAGTCGTAAGGACTGAACTCATTTTAAGACCCATTAAACGCTGACCGATATTATTAAACAGTCGTAATCTAAGAACACTTCACCACCTTGGAGTTGGGTTTTAGTGGAATATTTTTAGTGATGCCACGATAAAAGCATCTATTTTCACTACTTATAATTTAAGATTACACTAGATATGTAGAAAGGCAACTTACAAGCTACAAACTTTTAAATGTTTGAGTCTTTTTCCTTTGCCAGAGCATGAAGCTGATTCTTTGAGTGCAGCTGAACCGCTCACTGATCTTGTCGGGCTATGGTATCAGAGTCGACTGATCAGCTGGTTGGTTCCTCAGACCAAACTCTGATTGGTGGGACAGTTGTTGGTGTTATTTCTTAAGGAAAAGAGTGCCACATCAATATCCCAATACATTTTCGCATTGGGGGGGACAGACTACCTCTGAACACCCTCACACTGAAAGTTTTCACAACTTTAAAGTCACCCAACCTAATGGAGACTGCTAGATCTGACTCATTTATCGTTTACTTGGTGTTAACTAATTGACACCATGTTAAAGAGGTCATCAGTGTCGCTGCTGCATTTTGGTAAAACAAACAGCAGTTCCCATATTACAGCTCAACAACCAACATGACAGAACCTCTAAAAACAGCAGCTAACTTATGTTACATTCCTCAGTAGTTCTTGTGCTGCGATTACCATCTGATGTGGTTCTATTTTTAGATATCGTGTGAAAATGGGCAGCTACAGTCCATGCTTGTCATTACAGTGTAAAATAACCAGGTTTGAATGATGTAATGTGCTGCAAATACTCGTTTTTCTGTTTATTCATAATTCATTTAGGCTAATAAGCCGAGCACGTAACATGAGCTATGAGATTATATGCAGACTTTCTTTTTTTTTTTTAACCCACACCAATTGGCTGGTTGAGAACATATGATTTCAGTCGACCAAGATCTTCTGAGGTTGTTTTATATTAAATATTAGTTTAATTGAGCCTCAAACCAGCGAGACGAGTCAGATGAAAATAGACATAAAATCTGACATCTTTCATGCAAAAACAGCTGAAAAAATAGTTCCTTGTAAGACTCGGATCACTCGGATCAAGATTAGAAAGTTCTGTTGTTGAGTTTTGTTGGTATTCTGCTCTGACTTTCCTTCGATAAAGCTCAGAGTAACTCGAACCCATCAGACTTTGGATAGTTTCTGCAGAGTTTTTGTTTTTCCTCCTTGTGAACAGCAGTTATCTGGTCAGTCAGGTTTTGCAACAGCTGTTGAGAGAGACGCTGAAGTAAGAAACTCGTGTCAAACACTCCGGTCAAACAAACCAGCGGTCCAAACTCAGCTGTACTGATGTGTGGTATGTCAAGAGCGACTGATCCTCTTTCTCTCTCTCACTCTGCTCTCCTTTACAGTTTCTCCTTCTCACGCACAAACACACACATTCTCATACATCTCCACACTCCGTCTGTGTCACCCTCATAAACTTTAAGTTCTGTTTGCACACAATATCCTCCCCACAGACACAAACACACACATACATACATACAGGTCCCAGTCACCTCCCATCAGCTTCCGTCGACCTTCGGTTAATGACCCCATGCCGGTTTCCTGTGTTTTTCTGTTCACGTGCGCTTGTCCATGTCTCTGCATGTTCTAATTTGTTTTCTCCTTCTTTATTCTTTTTTAATCTCCCTTCTTTTTATTTGTTCATCATTATTTTTTTCTGTCCTTCATTTGCGGAGGAAGCCTTCCGAGGTGGACTGTGCTGTGTTTTTGTACGGAGCTCGATCACACGAGGAGGCCCACCACTGGGCCTCCCTGCACTCCAGCTGACCTTTGACTTCTACACCCTCATGTTAAGTCTTTTCCTGCTCTCTCTCTCTCTCTCTCTCTTTCTCTTCCTCCCCTGTTTTTCCCTCACCTGTCTCTCCGCACAGGATGGAGGCACCCGAGGCCGGCGGAGCGCCATGGAGGCCGACCTCAAAATGAAGAAATAGACTTTCAGAGAGATTTCTTAGAGCCTCTCTTGGGCTGACAGAAGTTGGAGCTGATTACTTACTGGCCCCTTTGGTTGTTTTCTGGAGAGGACTGTGCGGTCTCTGTGTGTCTGGTTTGTGTGTGTTTGCCGTTCATCTGTCCTTTGGCATAGATGAGGGTGTGTGTGTGGATGTGTGTGTTTGACTGAGCTGCACAGAGTTTCTTCTTCTCCTGTTCATAATGTGCGGCATCACGGGGTTTCACTGCAGGACTCACAAGCCAGCGCACCACGTTCCCCACGTATCATTTCACCAGCGAGGGCAGTAGGTCATCATTTCCCACCTGTGGAGACGGAACAAGAGCTCTGTGGAAAGAGGAGAAGAACATTTTCACCAGCAAAAGTTTGTCTGAGGATCAAATGATCGAGGGCAGTTTGAGTCTCACTTGCCGGATTTGATCGTGTTGAATCGTGGATACTAGTCGATGAAATGACCTGTCTGTTGAGTGTGTCCTGCGCCGAATTGTGCCCGGCCACCGTGGCCTGAAAAGACGCTATAGACAGCAACAACAAAGATGGCCACCTGAGAAATCATAATGTACAGTTCCACAAAGTCTCACTCGTACTGCATGTTGGGCTGACACGACGCAGAGCAGAGAAATGTTTCAGTTTGATCACCGATAAAATGTTCTAGTTAAATTCACTGACAATGTTTCATCAATGTTTAGAACTTGATTTTCTGCCTTTTCCATTAATGCTGCAAGAAATCTTTCTAAATTAAGAAAAGCAGATGGTGTCACTGAACCGGTGGCTTGTCCTCTCTGTTTAGTAATGGATCGAACTGTCCAATCTGTTGGCCAGTACATACCAGTGCATGTTTTAGCCCATTAAACTGCATACACTTTACATTTCTACCAACATTTCTCCAAAACACGAGGCTGTGATTGTATAATTCAAATTAACCTCAAGAAATACAGACATGAACCCTGCTACACTCAACACTTTATTGCCTCTAGTTGAGCAGTGTGTGGGACGGCAACAGACTTTTTTACATCTCGGATGTCAGCGTGTCCTTGAAAGGCACCAAAAGGCTGAGCTTTCAAAACAGCAAACCAGACCTTGCCCAAAGCAGCTGCATCATGTAATGGTAATGTAGAATTACCTGCACCTCAAGTAACAGCTACAGCTCTTCTTATGCTGCTGTGAAATAGACTGAGACCTATATCTGTCCTTCAACGGAGGAGACCCGTTCAAAAGCTAAACATGGTGTGTTTATGAGATGGCAGTGGGGTAAAATCCAGGCGCCACTTAATGGGCTTCAACATGCAGAGTTTGTTGTTGCTGAAATAGTACCGATTCATCCCGACTCGTTGCTTAGGATGTAGCCAGTGTGTGCTATGTAAATGGCATAAGAACTGTGTTTGTAGTGTGTGTTAGATGGGAGTACAAAATAGAGTTTTGTACCTGAGGTGGCTCATGTAGCTTTGTGTTTGGGTAGCTGATCCATGTATCACGTGTTCTGTTGTACATTTGTTAAATAAAGATTTGATCTAAACGTAGAAGAGATGCTTCACTTGGTTAGATGGATCTCTAGTTTGCCGGATTTTTATTTTAAACTGTGCATGCATATACAGATATTTGTGAAATTTTGTCCTGATATATCCAATATTTTTAGAGATACATTTGTTTTTGCAATTTGCCCGTTGACCGGCTTTCAGCACGTTTCGCAAATTGACATTTGAGGCTGTTTGTAAAACAATATCTCAGGAAGTATTGAAGATGAAAGCCTGGGATTTTCACTGTTATTTCTTATCATGACATTGATTCACATTCTGCAATATTGGACAAGTAGACAAAATAGTCTGATTTTAAATGTGTTGAAATACTAAATAATTAGAAAAGTTCCATCTTTGAGCACATTAACAAAAAAGTCAAGTAATGATATTTTCTTAACCATGTGTAGATGTCACAATAATACAAAACCATATGTATAGAATACTCCTTTATATGCAGTAGCTGGTTTCAAAAATTGGGAAAAAAAAGAAGTATTTTCATTCTTAACGGATTGAGCAGGTATCACCAGTTGTACTGCAACAACTGAAGTATTGCTAGACAGTCTAATCCAAATACAACTGAGTTCAGGGCTTTAATATTAATTCCCCAAAAAGTATTTTTAAAAAGAGTATTTTTTATTTGTGGCCCCTCTTTGTAGGCGTAATCACTGGTTTGGAGGAGACTTGTCATGTAGTTTTGTCATTTGACTGTAAGTTATTGCTGCATTGGGTCATTCAGATGACATCAGCATGATAGAACCAAATACATGGATCTGTTGTAACTGTGGGATTTATTTATTTTTTACTGGGATATTTTAATACCTTGACATATATTTAGTCACAATCTTTCATGCTTATCTGAGCAAGACTTCAGCTGTTAAATGTATTCTTTTGTTCACTGTTGAACTGCGAATAGACTTTCAAGATCAGTGTCACAAGCTGGACTCTGCAGAAAGTTAAAGTACATGTTTATTTATGGGAATGACTTATGGGTTTATCTTCAAGCATCTCTTTTAGTAGGGACATGAATTCAGTAAATATATTAGGTAACAGTTCACTGTGGTTCTCCAGCCTACAAAGAGGGCTCACAAAGTGAATACAAGTTTGATCAACCTGCATGACTCCTGGTGACAGATGTGTGAAATTCACAATCTTTACCTGAATGCAAGCACAGGACAAAGAAATAGTGTAAAAAAAATTTATTAAACAGTTGCATAAATAACGAAGCACACATCAGGACCGAGACCGGCCCAATCCTGGAATGAATTTTGCAAGTTTACAGTGTACAACTTTTAACATTCAACCGTTCTGTGCAAAACACTGTGCAAGTATTCACAGTTACACATTCATACATGACAAAGAACAATCTTTAGAGTTACAAACAGAATACAGGAAGTCCAGTATTTTTCTGTGCACGCCAGAAAATGCTTGTCAGTATGCAGCTGGACATTTGAAACACAAAAAAAAGAGGTGTAACGGGTTTACATTCTCAGCTTCACAAGCTAGTTGAAATCATGAACAACAGGACTGGCAGAGGAGTACAGCTTCCTCTTCACCAGCCTGTACTCCGCTCTCAGCTTCAGCACCTTGTTGGAATCGAAGATGTGCTTGAGTGGCGGCCAGCCATCATCCTTATCCGCCTTGAAGACCACAGACAGTTCAAAGGTCGGAGTGACAGTTGGGTCGGGGAAGACGCTCCCCACGGACTTCAGGCCGTCTTTGCCCTCAACGTAGAGCGTGATGGAGGCCCCCCGAAGCCCACAGGGCTCATCAGCAGAGGCGCGCACCACGTCCTGGCCGACCCTGGCGGTCATGTGGCGAGGCAGCAGCAGCACCTGGCAGAGGAGGATGGAAGCCTTGGCCTCCGTCAGGCAACGCTCGATCTGCCGGGTCACGTCCTGCTGAAGGAGCCGCTGATCATGCTCCAAACCAACATCCAGGTCAGATACTGTGTAAAGAAACAAAAAGAGATGTTAGGAACAAGTGGCACTATGTTACAGTAGGTATATTTTTAGAAAAGCTTAATATCCATGCTTAGTAATTGACAGATATGGCTTTATAAGGGCTGATTAATATTAAATACATGTGATTGTCATAACTAGGCTAATCCAAAGGTGATTTCCTTGTTTGTGGTGACAGCTTAAGTTTCTTATTTAGTTTTTATGGATGTTTCCCTGCTGAAGAGACACTGAGGGATTACTGACAGAGACAGGGGTGCAACATCAGACCTAAAAGAGCTCATTTCATTTATCAGTTTATAAAAAAAATGCCAAATAAAATCAGTCTATCTCTACCTGACAGTCATTTCATTAACTTTCCTACAGCTACAAATTGACCCCTGCATCACTGTGTGCATTTTTATTTTTTAAACTATGTAATAAATGTCCTACACAGCTGCACTTTGATAGTTAAAGAGTCATCAGAATAAAGGTTTGGCCTCAGCAGCTGACTGGAGTGTCATCAGCTGACCCAAGACCTGCCTCCGTTGCATCAGGCTCATCCCCATCGCACTGACAGCTGATCAACTGCTCCTCCGCCAACTTAAATAGTTCTAATCTATCACTTTTAGCGACTTTAATTGCGGCGCATTGATATTTAAACATGTTTAACGGCTCTGTAGAAAGAAGTTCTCCCAAACTATAAACTTTTAATTTTTTTTAACTTTCAATTTGCCGAATATAACTATGTGTCAAACTAACAAAAACTATATTAAACTCTTTTTGAACAACTTACAAAGTGAGTTGCTGTCTCTCTCATCGCAGCTCTCGACGCTTCCCCGCCGGGCACAGCTGCTCGTCGTGCCCGGGGATGTGAGCTGGCTGAAGTACTTTCCGATCATGTCTACGACGCTGTTTTCCTCCGCCGGGACGGTAAGTCCGTGTCCAAAGAGCAGAGCCGCGGTATAGACCATCCTGATTCCTGTTTGTGAAGCTCCGGTGTCTCCTCCGAACGTCTGTTGCGTGTTTTCTCCATGTAGTTAAAGGTAGCTGAGCTGAGCGAAGGTCTCGGTCCCGGAGGTTTTATACCGGAGCGGCCGGCGGTTGCATCAGGCGGAGGGGGCGGAGCTTGAGCGGATCAATCCAGAAGCTTCGGCACTAAAGAGCCAATGTAAGCTAACATAAAACAACAGGAGTGGCCTGTCATTCTGCTATGAGGGCTTTTAAACGTGTAGTTTTTTACTCTTATTTCACTTAGAGTCACTTACAAGAACTTTTAAGGGCAATATTTCATTAAATATTTTAGGTGCAATATTTAATTTTCATGTGTGATATTACTTAAATGTCATTGCTAGCCTTATGTTAGCTTATGTTAGCTTGTGTCATTTAGTTTTTTATGAGTAATACCTGGCACAAGAATTCCCTTCTTCTGCACTGCTTATTATTATTATTATTATTATTATTATTATTATTATTATTATTATTATTATTGTTGTTATTTCTATTATTATTACTATTATATATTTAATCCCTATCTTTTTATATATATATATATATATATATATATATATATACATATATCTTTTCTATATACCCCCCATTCAGAAGCCCATTTTTCATATTCTGTTTGCACTACTCTCCTTGTTTGCACTATTTCTTATATTTATATGTACATTTTTCTATTTTTTCCTGTCTCGTATATGTCTACCTCTGTTGAATGCTGCTATCAACAATGTGAATTTCTCCACTGTGAGATAAATAAAGGCATATCTTATCTTATCTTATCTTCAGGATTAATTAAGTTTTATCTGATATGGGGACATTTCCTCATCACTTTCCTGTTTTAAAGTCAATCTCAGCTTATTGATTTAAACCCTAAAAAACTCGTCGAGTTTTTCCATTAAATGTGTCCCTTTCTGCCCGACAATGGTTTCAATGCAACGCTGTGCTGTTGTTTCCTTTACAATGTGCAGACCCACGGTGCAGCTCGAACACACCAGCTCACCTACAGCTCTGCTCAAACACTATAAAACCACTTCACACAATAGAAAGTTATACTATGGGAGGAAAGACCCTCGAGATAGGACGGAGTTTGTGCTGCGCTCGCAGTGCTGCTTGAGGGGAGTCACTGGGCAAAATAGGTAGTTTTCAGACCTTCCACCGGGAAACACCCTAATCTGACTCACAGGATGTAGGATGGGGGTATAGTCATTTCAATCAGCTTTGTCTTTCCCTCCACTGTCTGTGTGTTACATTAAGATGGGAAGTAACAGCAACCTACCACACTGAGAATTTCCAGCTTTGCCGAGGACTGGGATCATGCAGTCAAGTCGCCCTGCTGGTTTTTCTTGCCGTGCATTATCAATTTTAAACACAGTGCTCATCTCCCTGCATGCAAACGTTCCAACTGTCACTATTGTGAGGGAGCACCAAAGCTGCATCCTTCACTTTGCATTGCACGAGATGGCTGTGATTGGTTTAAAGATTATGAACAAGCCATATGGTAGAATGATGTAGCTCGACCAATATGTACTTCAAAACGAGCTTGTTAAGTGAGAGTACCAACACCTTAACAACGAAGATGCCTCATTTCTACTGGCCACTCAGGTACACATCATGGCATGCAAGGATCAAAATTCAACGTGTGACCTTGCCAAATTGCACACTATGTTGCATGTACACTTTGCACAGGAAATGCATCATCGTGCAATGCCAGCAATTACAATAAATGGGTTACGCAGTGATGCCGTTGTGGCTTTCTGTACAAAAGGGTCTTTGAACTGGAAACCGATTCTGAAGAAAAATAATGATGCAGAAAGTCCCACCCTGCAAGTTTACAGGATTGGTTCCTTAAATTTATTACGTATGAAAGCCTGAAGTCTGAATCAGTGTTTCTGAGACTGTCATTGGTAGACTGTAGTTTCAAGATGGAAATGCTCAGCCGTCGTGTTGACTGCTTGTTTCATGCAGGATGTGTCTTCTAGCACATACAAAACACTATAAGGACATGTTAGGGTACAAAAAAATAGATTTTCACTGGGGTTCACTCATTTACAAGAAATTTAACTGGAAGAAATTTGGAATATTTGAAAAAAATAAAGGAGTTGTTTAAGTCAAATAATTCCAATTAATCTTTAAGCATATTCCAGTGAGTTTGGAGCACTGTACATTGACTAAAAATCTAATACCTTTTATGTACAGGCAGTAATTCTATACATATATATAGAAAATAGAAATAGAAAAGTTTCCTATAGTGAATAAAAAATCAATAAATTGTTGCTGACACAGAGGTTAAATAGAGTCTTAACCTCTTCTAACCACTTCCTACAAGGAAATTCTTAACCTCCATATAATGAATATTTCCTTATCTTTCCTGGAAGCCTCCTCCAAATTACAGACCCATAAAATACAGTGTTTTCCAGAAACAGTTTCCATCTTTACTATCTGTTGTAATTATCCAATAAGACAATAAATAATAGCAGAACACTCAAAGGTCATTTTTCAGCATTTACTTTGATCATATTGCGTATAATATTTAAGGAACTTTAATCTGAATAAAACATTTTTGCATTGGTGCTTCAGTTTATGAACATCTGATCATTGCTTTAAATATAATCCACTAGTGAATGAAAAGGGCTTACTAGCTGTCATGGAAATATACCAGCCTATGACTAATTATATATACGTAGGCCATTGTGGTCTAGTGCGATGGGTGTATTCAGAGTCTGACGATAGGTTGATACCACAGCACGGTTCACAGAGGAAGCATCCTTTTACTACACATTACTGACTGCTTCTTTTACTAATAAGAAATGCTCCTGAAATTCACATTTTAAAAACACATGAAGTTAGTTTACTTATATGACATACAAGATACTACACAGATCATGTCTTTGGGCTTTGGTTTGCTCTCAAATTAATCCCATGTCAATAATATGTGCAAATAGGTTTGCTGCTGTTTTTAGAAGTATGTCATGAAAAAAAATCTAAAATGGACAAACACTAAAGTTGACTTGCGCTGGTGGGAACAACAATTTAAATGTAAAGTCACTAAAAAAAAAATACTTTATCTATGTGTACAATTATGTCAGCATTTAATAAAATTGCTATGATTTTGATCCGTTACACTACCCCTGATATTTCTGTGTTTTGTGTTACGTTCAGTACTTATAGAGAAATATTTCCAATTTACACATCAGATTTTGCTCCATCAAATATTGCCTAGTAACTGTGCTGCCACAAAAAGCCTCACTGGTTGGTCTTTATGTTTCTTGCTAATGATTTAAACTTTTTTTTCCACTTCCAGTGTAGGCACGTGAGATTCTTGAGAGACTCCGAGTGTGTGTACATCAAGTCTAGACATGGCATGAACCCAGCTTACTCATTGGGTGAGTAACATGGTCTGACACATACACACCTGGTGCAGCACACGGGACACGCACACACAACGCACAACTCTTTTTTTCCCCACTTTCTCTCCCTATATGTGTTATGACAAGTCTTAAAAGTAATATTAAGACTTTATTTATAACTTTATGGTTATGACTTTATGGTTATCTCGCTGACCACTTACCAAAGTGGGACATCTATTAATATTTTTCAGACTTTTTTTTAAACTTTATTTTATTGTAAGGTACTTTTGTGGCACTAAGTGGGTACTATAATAAAGACAGCATATTCTGTGCATGACTTACGCTTAATTGTGGGCATCTAAGAACACGTTTGTTGTCTTTTAATACAAAGAAACACAAAGAGTGACCATGTGACAGAGTGTATTGTTCACCACAGTTTAGAAATAAACCAACTCCTTGCTGTGTTGCCGCCCTGCTGACGTGACATGACAGCAGACACTGAGTAGTTCTTTTACAGGATAACGTCTCACACCTGAGTCACCTTCTTAGAAAATTTCCCTGATGTGACATCACAGCTGTCAACCAATCACGTTACGATAAGCTGCTGTCATTTAAAAGACTGGGCACCGATAAGGAAGTGTGTTTGCGTGGAAGTGCAGGGGAAGTACAGTGTGTGTGGTGACATCATATGGTCACTACCTAACCAATATTTACTGTGTATGTGCTTTTATATAATTCTTGTGCTCATTATTATATAACCATTTCAATTTAGCCTTTAAGTTGCATATTTTATGTGGCCTTTTCAACCCTATTTTGCACAAATATTACAAATTCAAGTAACAAGTGACGACGTAATGATCTTTTCCAATGAACTTGTGCTTTCCTCACTGGTACCGATGTGGTCAGACGAGGAATATTCTCTGTTCCCCTTTAAGTTCACGTCTTGCTGTGTGTAAACTCAGCTGCTGTTCCCTCATTATTATCCATCCATCAGCACCAGTGTGTCAGCTGATGTCAACAGCTTGGGATGTAACTTGTTTTCCAGTGAAAAACAGGTTCGACATGTCTCCGGCGGTCACCTGTCACTGTAGCCACAACTACAGCTCACATGTCTCCAACTATGAGGGTGTGTTGTTCTTTTTAAATCCTTATCTAACAAAGAAGGAATGTGATCAAAACACACTAGTCATATCAGTGGCCTGATGAGGACAAGATATTGACATACATACACTGTGCAGGGTTATTATGCTGTTTTTTTTTTCAGTCAAGATTATTCAGCTATAAACAGTTTTTTACTGCAGTGTTTATTGTTTAGTGTTATTAGAGCTACACTGATGCATTTGAATTACTGTCCAGTGTTATTGTTTTGGACTATTTCTATTCAAAATCAGAGAAAACCCAAATGGATTTAGTTTCCGACAATATGCAGCTGAGAAAAGAACATTTGTCAGTGATGTATTACTCTCAGTTTCAACTCATTTTTTTGTGTACAGTCCCAGTAGTTAGTAACTCCATAATTAATAGACTCCATTGCAACATTCTTAATGTATTGACTTTATGATCTTCACAACAGAATCTGTATAGTCAGATTACTGGTAACCTCAACTGTTGCATTGTATAGAGTCAATGTTAATGGATTATCACAGCTTTTACAGTCTGGAGTAAAGCAGGAGAACTTGAAAGCTCCAATAATCTCAAACAATGGTGGTCGAAGCGAGAAACGGTATCTCTCTCGTGTCTGTCGGCTTCATGACTCTGTACAAAGATAAATGTTTTCCTCAAAATGTCAGGAAGGTGTTTGTAACATTATATTAGAGTTTGCTTGTTCAACTCTCCCAAAGCAGACTGTTTATCCTGTTTCATTTGAACGTGTTTCCTTCACACAACAAGAGTTTATTTCCTTGTGTCCCTTCTTGGGTTCAGAACAACCAGTTTAGAGAGCTTCATGCTGACCCGTCCAGGCTGCCCTGAAGTTGTAAACCGTCTTGATACGCTGCACTCAGTAACTGTGCTGATAATGCAGTGTGTTTTGGATCAGATCCCGCTGTCCTTGTCCTCACCTTTCCCTTGTCGACAACACATGCAGGCTGTAAACACATCTGATGCAACCTCTCAGAGCCATTTCAGCAGCTGCAGCGCTTGCACTCATGAGGTGTGTGTGCACATGTGAGACGCAGATAAACAGGCTTAGAGCCAGGTGTTTGGTGACAACTTCTTCTGTTTATACAGGCGTTAAACACATTTCTCTCCTCCCCTCTACTTCTTTATCAAACACAATGTCTTTTCCGAGCTTTATCCTCATTAAAAAAAGAAAAAAAAAAGTAATTAAGGGAGCTATTATTCACAACTTTGTTAAAAAACATTGGTTACAAGATAAAAAGCTTAACCCTGTTAAGGTGCAAATGTCAAGTTTATAGGTAGGATTGACTTAAAAATGTTGGTAACTGCATCCCCTTATTATTGTTATTATTGTGTATTAATATGTGTAATTTAAAGTCAAATTTAAGTTGAGGTATGAAAATAATTTCATCAGAAGTTAACATTCCTCTGACAGACTGATGTAAACTGTTCTATGTTGTTGAGCACAAACATTATTTTCAGGGTGCTGATCTACATATGATCCTCCTTGACCCATTTTCCTTTCACAGTGACTGTTTTTATATGTTCTGTTCTATTTATACATTTTTTGCATACATTCAAACATTAATTGATGGGAAAAAACGTACTTTTTAACTAATCTCTGTGTCAGCACCCTCCCAGAAGATCATTGGGGTTAAAAAGTCAACTTAAAAAAAATCTATAAAAACGTAGAAAAACATTAACCAGCTAAATTGCTGTCGTATGAACCAAGATAGAAACAGCAGCAGCTCCAGACGTCATACAGGCTGTTAAGTTAACTATATTAACTGGGCGGGAAGATCACGTCCTGTTCTCTAAAGGAGGAAGGAGGATGACGAACTATTCCCTTGGAGTTGCAACATTTCCTCAGCGCTAAAGCAAGGTGCACTTCATGTGCACTGAACAATCTGTGCACGACTTTTCCACTGCACACATATTTGTCTGAATGTCTAATCTGCACTGTACACCAGGACATTTTCTAAATATAGCAGGCAGGTCATAGAATTCCAATTAAAGTTGCTCACTTTGACAATAATATTTTCCACGTATCTTAATGTCTAAACGTTCTTATATACCAAACCCTTCATTATACAGAAAGAAAAATCAAACACAACTCCCAAATTTATTTATTGTCTTTTAATCCAAATTGAGCTGTATGCATATGTTTCTAGACTCTATATATAAAATCCCTAATCTGTGAAGCTGCTACAAGAAGATACAAGAGTATAGTGTGACAGAGCAGGAATACACTGAAAGTTGTGGGAGGTGTGTGTGTGTGTTTCAGTACTACTCTCTCTGTGCCTGAACATGTGTTCAGGTTTCTGTCTGCTAGTAGTCGCTGTTCTCAACAGGTCCCTTCAGGGGCTGAGGTTTCTCCAGACTGAACATGAGCGTGGGCTCCCTGCTCATCGGCTCCGGGTGGTGCCAGTCACCGTCCATGGACGGCGCACTTGGCGGGGCGCTCGAACTGTTTGATAATGGGTGCACCATCTCCTGGTGAGGAGGTGGGGTGAGACAGAACTCCTCTTTCTCCTGCTGCTGTAAATGTCGGAGGATAGCCTTGGACAAGAAGTGAGGGTCGTCCTCATGCTTATCTAGAAGAAGAAGAAGAAGAAGAAGATGTGATCTGTGGTTGTTTCTTTTAGCACTCTGACTCTGATTATCTTTATTGTTTGTAGCTCTTCTTTTCAAAAAGATATGTTTCTTAAAATAGTGATCATGCAGAAGTTGGGTGAGCCTTTAAGCGAGGAAACAAAAAAGACTAAAAGTTCACATGAGGCCAGCATTAATTGGACCAAACCCAGAAACTCTGACCTACTTCATTTCAGCTTTACTCTGTGCAGTGTGAGAGCGCCGTGTATCATCTTTAAAAACACAGAAATTGTAAAAGCATCTATAAATACACAAATCCTAATTGTCAATCCTTGTGGGAAAGGGGATAATCTAAAAGCTAAAATCCCACTAAAAGCAGCCCGTGTCATGCTGCGAGGTGTGTGCAAAGTTCACACACGCAGACTGTCTTCGTACCATCGAGCAGGATGAGCTTGTAGCGGTTGCGGCACTCCAGCGAGTGCTCCAGGATGTCCTGCAGGGTCCTGTAGAAGAGAAGGACCTGCTGTCTGCGCTCAGGCTCCCCGAAACCGGCGCTGCTCTCCTGGGACATGCTGTAGAGGGTCAGCAGAGGTGTTGCGTACTCCACCACACACTCATGGGCCTGTTTACACACACACATGCATTAACAGAAACAGACACCCAGAGGAAGGTACATTTCCTGAAAGATAATCCGTTAAAAGCTTGTAGCACTCTAGCTTCAGTTATGTTTGATTGCCATGTTTGACAGGTAGATGGTGCTGTTACTGTGCTTTAATGGACCACCGTTCTACTAGTGAGGTCTCAGCTTTAACCAGCAGGTGGTGGTAATTCTGTGCTGTAGACTGCTGTTGGAGGTGATGTACATCCCAGCAAATCTTCTTTTTGTATTTTTGTATCTCAAAGTGCAGCTCATCAGCGATGAAAAGGCATCGCAAGTCTCAGTGTGTCTTTATTGTCTCAGAAAGATAAATGAACCAAAACACTGTCCTGCATAATGTAAAAATACATTTGAAATAGTGAATTTGCCAACAAACTTATCAGTCTTTACAGTGAAGCCGTCAGATTTCAGTTGCTCACACTGTACAGGTTCTGATCAGATACGTTAAGGACCGCAGGATTTACGGGGGATTTATTAGAAGAAATGAAATATAGTTTTCATAATTGTGCATGCATTAATGTATAATAGGCTTAAAACAGGATAAATCTTGTGCCGCCACGTTAATACAGCAGCACAGAGAGAGCAAACCAACTTTTGTCTGTCTGTACTCCAAAAGCTAATGAAGTTATGGAAGTAAACATTATCAGCAAAATGTTTGCTTAACGTGATGCTATTTGTTTAAACAGAAGCTACGATGACCAAGTTTTCTAACATCTTCTTGTCCGGAAAGTTAAGTAGTCTTCTGTTAACGTCATTCTATGTTTATTTTAGGTAGGCATGATATTGGATTTTTGCGGATATTCAATATGCAGATATTTGGCTACTCATTTGGCAGATTGCAGATATATGTACATATTTTTTCCACCTAATTGCAGAGAACATCAGGTCTCTTCTGTAGTGGAATTAACACATTATCGTGCCTACACTTAATGTGTTGGCCCACTGGCTTGTGAGGCATAACATACAAAGCTTTACAAAGACAAAAACTAATTTAACTTACATTATTTTTCTGTAACATTTTCAAACAAAACTGTAAACTTTTAGTCAGTCAGCCATCATGTCTGTCATTGTCAGCATTTAATTTCAAAGTCTTCATCAGCCAATACCAACAATGATTATATATATATATATATATCAATCACTAAAATATTGCAGCCATGGTACTGACATAAGGCATGTGAAGTTCTAACTGGTCAGCTAACTATAATTACTTTATATACAGTTGGACCGTATAAACGTGTCATATATTACAAAACAACTAGTTTATGGACAGAAAATTAACTGACAACTATTTAGATGACTGCATTTTCAGTCAAAGTCTGTTTGCATGCTTTTTACAATGTGATGATTTGCTGATTTTCTCTGATTTATATGATTGCAAACTTTATGTAACTGGTTTTGGATTGATGTGCAGACATTTTGAAGATGTCACCTTGAACTATAGGACACTGGGATGAATATTTGTTTCTACTTTCTGGCGTTTTATAGACAATTACTCCAATGATTGTGAATGTGGTAATTAATTGATCAGATTGCAAACGACCATGATTAGTTAGAATCATTGTGTTTTGTACGCAAACTCCTCATCTGTAAAGGGGTCAAATAAAGGTCAAACACACTTTTAGGCTGTGAAAGTGTGAACTTCCTTCAAATGGATATAAAGCAGAAGTACTTCAAAATTGCACTGAAGCACAGTAATGCACTAAATATTAATTATCCTCCTTTTCTGTGTAATATCTACAACAGTAAAATAAGGCCATAACATCATTCTTGTAATCACTTTGAAATAATTGGTGGCTATTTTTGGCCTTACATGGTACTCAGGATGCTTTCATGCAATCCCAAACTGCCTTTCCCTCGACTGAACTGCAGAGCTGGTTTTCAGTACAATCAGTGTTAGATATGCCACATCAAACACATCGAATATAGAGCACATTGATGAGCTATCTTAAAATATTGACAGAGAAAATATATATAGATATGTATATAAACACACACACACACACATATATATACGTACAGACAGACAGACAGACACAGCCCCTTGAGTCTGTCAGTTTACTGTGACTCTTGCTCTCTGTCGCATTTAGGCTGTGCAGTCTTTACAAATCTGATCAAAGGAGAAAATATCAGCACACTGAGTCTTTCACAGCCCACACTGGAGACAACAAGACCGACGACAAGTTGAATTACAGCATGAGTGGCTTTCAGCTTTCAAACTGCAGCTTCTGTGATTACTTTATGTGGTACTGTGCATATTTTTCATCTGAACCTGAGAGGAGTTTAAGCATCTAAATGTAATCTGATACAGATTACCCGCTGAAAAAGAACCTTGCAGCGTTAATATACGCGCATGACAGTCTCAGTTTACATCCTCGCCTACCTTCCCATTCTCATCCAGCACTCTGTAGACGCTGTGCTTATAGACTCGCCCCCGGACTCCTGCCCTGTCTATCTCGTTGTTTGGGAGGTTGTCATAGAAACGGATGTTGTCATCCTCATCCTCCAGCTTGTGTGAGATGTTGGCGTTGAGAGGGATGAGGACGAGGAGCTTCCTGGAGCCGCGACCCCTCCAGGTGCTGCTGGACTGGTGTGTGGCACGAAAGGCTGCAATTGAATCCTCCAAATCTGGATAGAAATGCAGAAACACACACTTAAATTTATCCAGATCCAGTATCTCGAGGATATAGAGTGCAATGTTCCGTATAGATCTCAAAGAATACAGCACGACAGACTCTACTATACAGGAAATGAGCACAAACCTAAAATCAATAGTGTGTGTGTGTGTGTTTTAGTGTTACTGACGTGGCAACACCAGTCGCAGGTAGCCCAGGTAGAAGGACCAGGCCAGGCCGTGGGCCACGTTCATCTTCCTCCCCTCGCAGATGTCTGACACTTCCACCTCCGACGGACCCTACACACCGACCACAGACAGGATGTCACGACGCTTCACCTCGGCTCAGGAGCCACCTGACACCTTCCAAAAGGTGTCAGACAAAAGAAAAGGGCATCCCTGCACCCGAGCTGCCCTTTCCCATTGTAGGACAAATATATCTTTAGATTGAATTCGGTGCAAAAGCAAGAGACAGCGATGGCTACGCTCAAACCTGACCTGGATTTGAATCTGTTATGCTGCCAGTTTCTATAAGGAGTCTGAAGGAACAGTGAGCTTTGTTTAAAATTATGCAGCAGTTCTTTGAGAACAGTGTGAACACGATGGTCATTCTTGCTGATGAAGACATAGTCTATTTTGAGTCTATTTTTACTCCAGAAATGCCATATCAATTATAATCAACTGCTGCTTCAGGAGATGTTCTTACATAGGCACTGGTCCTTCTGAAGTGGAGTCCTTTTATGCTATTTTCACTTCTGCCATGTTGCTCTGAGATGCAAACCTACAGGAAGCTTTCAGGTGATTAACTTTTTTGGTGCACCAAAAAAAACCCACTGATCTAAATTAATCAGGAGTGTGAAGACATACAGATTCACGCTGTGCAGATTTTCCTGGCTCATTTGATGTAGTTTTAGAATTCTCTTTAAATGTGGACTTACAGTAGGCTTGCTGGTTTCACTACCTTATTAAGGTTTCTACTAGTAGAGACTAGTAGAGACGTGAGCTTGCTTTGGAGGATTTGTATGGAAAGCAGTGTTGGGAGGATTACTTTTAAATGTACTTTACTTACATTTACAGAATACTTGCCTCTAGATGTAATTTGTGACATTACATTCTTTAAAGTTAGCAACACATTTGAATTTACTTCTACACTGTCCTTCACTAATACTGCAGGTAACACTGTGAGATAATGTGGCTGTCACACATTCCTGCAACTTCAGGTGGACTGAACCCAGGAGTCACTCTGATGTTTTTTACTGGCAAAAAGGATGAGGACCGCTTTTTTCTTTGACCTTTTTTTTTTAAAAACCCAGCATCAACCTAGATTGAAAACTAGTAAATAAAATTAAAATAAAACCATAAGCTGTTTTCCACTGCAGGAACCGCCCCTGTAGAAGCTTTCTCAGTGAGCTCGTTGTTGCTTCGTTAAACTTGGAAAGGCAACAAGTGCCACTTTTTCTGCCCTGTTGTCAAGTTCCCTCTCAAACATTTCCATCACCATAGAGGCTAAAGCATTAAACATCCATTGTTCAACCAGTGCTTTGTTCACAGGAGTGAAATTACATCCTGTATCTACAATTAAACAATAGTCACCAACAACTTGTGTTGCTGCTTTTGCACACTCAGAGCTAATGTTGTGGTCAAAGTGTCAGATTCTACTCCAAAGTGGAAACAGAGAGGCTGAAAGGGTTAATTACTAAACCTGCATTGGCAAGCATCCTTTACAGTTCCATAGATATTTAGTTTTCACTTTGCTGCCTTATAACTAATCCTCTTAAAATTAAAATAGCACTGTTTATGCATTCTCTGTTTTCACACAGCATGAAATAGGTGAAAAAAGATATTAGAAACAATAACGTAAATCTGTAATGCTGCACAGAGTGGGGAAGCTCGTTATCAAAGCTATGAAAAGATTGTCTTTCTCAAAGTGTTAGTAAAAATCTTTTCAGACATTTAGGTTGGTTATTGGATAGTAATAACTGGCCAAAAATATAGCACATATCATAAATATTGTACATTGTTTGGTCATTGTTTACCAAGCTATTTCAACAATGCTAACAGGCTAATATGGTATAAGGCTTGTAATTCAGCGACGTAGGTAGCTCGCCATGGAGGTCATTTGACCAGCAATGAAACTGTATTGTGATTACCATGTTTAAAGTTTAACTGTCACTAAATATTTACTCATATTTTGCATTCTAAATGTATAACTCGTAACTAAAAACATACAGGTATGAAGTATACGAACGAATGCTGCGACATTATAAACAATGACGCAATGACTGTATAGTGTCCTCTAACCAGACGGATCTCGACATTGTTGGAGAATGAACAAGGAGGTTTTGAGACGACTGCCCACGCAACACTGTGGTTATGGAGAGGCTGACCTCTGGACAACCCTGTAGACTTCTCCAGACTTAGACTCAGCATCATACTGAAAGTAATCTTATGTGAGACAGGTCAAGAGGCAAACCAGAGGTGCTGCTAATTAGTGACTCTTTGTAAGACTAGTGGAGCTCGATAAGCAGGGATGGCAGTTTACTGAGCAGTGCTTGCTGTGAGGGGTCAGGAGATTTAAGACAGCATAGCCGTAAGATGTATTTTAACACAAATACTGGGCTTTCCTAGTTTGGATAGATTACCTTTGACATGTGCTGTACTTACCAGGGATAATGTCAGACTTACATAAGATGCCTACATGCTAATTTAAATGTCTCCGTTTACAAGAAACTACTGTTATTCAACATTTCCAAAAGTTTAGATCTTTCAGTGTGTTTTCCATTAGACTAAAGTTCAGCACTATTTCTGTATGAATAGAAACTAAAGGCAGCATGGAGGGATACCAAGACTTGAAAAGAGAGGCAGAAACCCCAGTACAAGAAAGATATTAGTGTTTGTGTGTCAAGTCCTCACCAGGACTCCCAGGCTTTTGAACAGTGGATAAAGAACAGAGACCAGGATGAGGAGATGCCAGTACTGGTCTTTGTGTGGAAGAGGGTGTCCAGCCAGGTACAGCAGGAGGCCTGCCAGCCCTGCAACCAGCAGCGTCTTACCCCCAAAACCACAGGCTGGCAGCATGTGGCTCAGAAACGCTCGACCTCGATACCTGAACAAAACACAGAGGGAAGGAGGCGCAGTTGACACGGGCTTTATGTCTCTACTGTTTCACTCTTGTACTGGTGGATGAACGTGAAGCAGATTTCAGCGTTGTTGTTATGTCGTAGCTCTCATATCATCTTGAATATCTCCAGCTAAATACAGGCTGCCGTGTATGTCTCCGTTGCAAATTTTTGATATCATTGTACCATATATATTTAAATGTGGAGCAGTTGAAATAATAGTGAAACAGCAGCTAGGTGTGATCTTTTAACCGTAATTCTGCCTGATTTAGCCAAGACGATGGTACCATTTAGAGGTCTTTTAGACACCTAGTCAATGGAAATTTGCTCAGTATGTACCTTCTATAAAACATTGTCATTTAGAGAGAGTGATGTTAACACTGGAAACATATGGTTACTGAGATCAAGATTAATCTGTACTATCTATGCAGTATATTAATACAGAAAGTCAGAAGACATCTCATTGTCTCTGTTGGCCTTGACTTACTGATGAAGGAAATACCTTTAACTGCTACCAGCCAATCACGAACTTTGTCTGTCTGCTGTTTGGCGTGAAACACGTATGACAGAGCAGGTTTAAAGAGTACTTTGATTGAAAACGACTGTCTATCTGGAAAGGTTCCAGGTTTGTCATCCTCATCATGAGCAGACCTTTTTACATTCCAGATACATCTACTGATCATTAACACACTGAACCCCAAAAACCACCTGTGGGTTTGAGAGTGATGTTATCCTTTTTTTTTTTTTTTTAATTGCCAAATTTACACTATTTATCAGAGGCAGAAACTGTAAAAACAGGGAAATGTTGGATTTTCCACTTTAAAACCAGTCCTGTAGCTTTTACTCATCTGTGTCGTTCAGTTTGAACAAATATCCACATCAAAGCTTAACATCATGATAGGGACCAGCATTTTATTTCCAGTATTGGTAACACATGGGGGCGCTTGGGAAAATGTTATACACGCTGATTTCAGGTTTTTCAAATTTTGTAAAATAAATAATCAAAGAAGTTCAACTCTTGTTTTAAAGATTGATGGTATTACCACTGTGTCATACGGCACAGAGGACATTTTTGAGTTGTCTCTACTTCTTTCCATAGAGGTGCAGGACTTGAGAAACGTGACAGGAGCAGTAAACACCCACGGACACAGCCTCACCTCGTGTTGTAGTGGTGCAACATCTCCTCTGCCAGCAGACAGAGTCCGTGCAGCAAAGGGCCAAGGGTCAGCATGAGTATTGCCTTGGCAACCAAGCCAAATAGCCTGTTAGGAAACAGAACCACGACGCCTCCCATCGTTACGGCAGCTAGCGTTGCAGCACACGCCTTAGGCAAATTCCCACGAGGCCGAGGGATGAGAGTGTCTTGATCTCTGAGGCTTTGCATCTGTCAGGAAATGGTGAGCGAGGGTCAGGGAGCAGTTACAGGGAAACCAGATGCATTGATCAGTGTAGGGCCAGCTCACCCACAAAACTGCTAAAAGCCACTTTAATGAAGTCTGAGCTGCCGTCTGAAGTGTTGTGGTGGAGTGAGAAATAACGCTGTGTTTATTGTTTTCTGTACATTTCATTTTGTGAATTCGAGGTTCTAACCCCAACGATGCCAAAAGAGCACAGTTTGGCTTTTACAGCCCCAGCATACATCATCATCATCATCAGCCGTCACATTAGAGCCCAGTTAAAAAATACAGTTTATTGAGTCAAGCCAAATTTATCTCTCAAGTGTAAGTTTATCACAAATTGCACAGGATGTCACTTCCTTCTGTTGAGCAAAACTTTGGCTAAGTCACAGTTCTGTCTTTTATCTTTTAATAGAAATGCAGGTGTTGTGACATCATTGACAGCCTGGCGAGGCGCGCAACATACTGGAAACTTTTATGGTGTAAAAGAGAAGAGCCGAAGGGCAAAGCTCAGTATTCGGTATCTGTTGCACCTGACCTTATATTTAAAGGAAGAAAAAGTATTATACAAACTTTGGACTGGGATCCAGAATTTGAAAATATCATGAAAAAGGTTTTAATTTGGGTAACATTGTCAACCTAAAACTAATAATCATTTTAGATATGTAATAGATGACACTAGGTCTTTAAATCACATTAATTATTTCATATAATGACATGTCCTGCAGTTGCGCCACCTGACTTACTGGTTGCACCACCACCACCTGACATTTGCAACTAATTTCAAATCGAACTGGCTTCTACTTGGACACCTGTATTAGCTCACAATCTTGCTAGCAAGTTCTTACTTTTGATTTTTAAGGACAAAACAGAGTTTTATGATAAAATAACATTTTCCTAGTTTTGTTTCGGTTGTACCACCTGATACGAAAAGTGTGCCAGTCCACCTAGGAGTTAAAAGTACCTATTTTTTAATCAATATTTGAGAGGTCGACAAACCTTTTCGGTCAGCCAGAAAGGTCCCTTGGGGTGCTCTGGCTGATACAACGTCCTGTTTATTGTTAATACCACAGTTCTTCAAAATAAAAGTCCCATGTTTATGGTTGTGCCGCGCTGACCTTTAAGAACATACAAATTGTTGGACAAATGTTTTCGAATTATATCAGCAGCTTTAAAACTACTGTTATTTGTGAAACTGGGTTCATTTGAGAGGTTTAAAACATGAAATAATGCCATCATATTTAATTTTGAATTTCTTATCATTAAAATACCGTTTTTAATCATATTTTCAGTCTGTTCATTTGCACGGACAGCTGCGCCACCTGACATTTTGAGGGTTTGACAAGCTAAAACATAAAAGAAAGTATTTATTTGAAAGTACTGAAAATGTGTTCAAACTAAATAGGTTTTATAGAATAAAGTGATATATGTCATGAATTGATTGAATTATATTAGAAGGACATAATCCACTCGGACAGAACAACATGCACGTCACGTCATTGACCCTTAAATGTTTTACATGAAAATAGATAAGCATATAATTACTGTACGATGAATTAATGTATAAGTAAGGGATTGATGATCAACATGATCAAGGTTTCAAAGTATCTTGCACAGCTGTGATGCAATGATAAAATCTGTCCAGACATCCAGACAAACATATGAACACCTGCTAAATATGCACTTTATCATGTAGAAGTCACATTTCTTCTAGCCAAAACTGATTTACAGATATCTTGGAATTTTATTTTAGATAGCTCCTGTTTCTTATTCACAAGTGAGAATAGTGACTACAGATTTACAATTGAACTTTCATTTCCATAGATTTCCAATATGTTTGACATGCGCTGCCCTAATTTGCATATTCAATTTGAATATGTATTACTGAAGACATTAATGACATTTTGACTTGTTCCTGTTTTGATATCTAAAATTCAATTTTCACTGGTAATAAAATAAACTGTAGATATCTCAAATGTAACTGTTACTAGTACGAATATCATTTTCACAAGTCACATGTGCAGATATCTGAAATTCAGTTCTGGATATGTGAAGTCACATTCTCACTCAATTCCAAGCAAACATAACAATAATTAGATTTTCACAAGTCAGAATTAAAAAGTTGATGTCTGAAGTTTAATTTATGATATCTGTAGTGTAAGAACAATTTTAGATATTTACGATAAGTGTGAACTGAATTACTGATTATGATAATTAACATTCTGGCTGGTGAGAAATAGATTGTAGATATCTTTAATTAGAACTGTTGCGAGTCAAAATTAAATGATAGATTTGGAATTGTACCGTGCTAAATTTAATTACAGACATTTTCACTGAGTGTGAAAAGAAGTCAGTGGTAAAAGTTCACTAGTTAACTGTTTACAGTACATGTTTCCACAAGTGAGAAATGTTTGTAGATATCTTTACTAAGCATTGCTGCTCGTGAAAATTGCATGATGGATATGTTGGATTTGACTTTTAACCAGTGAAACCTCAACCATCGATAACTATAATTGCTGCTGCCGCTAAGGGCTTGTCATATCGCAATCACATTCTTTCCATTTGATGCACACACACACACCAGGTACAGAGACTCACAAAGTGAAAACAGTAACTGGTGAACTTTATGTTAAAAACTGAGTTTGCTTTCACAGCATCAGTGTGTTTGATAACGCCGTATGAAAATAACTGTAAAATACAACAGTGTTGTCAAGTCCATTCAAATAGCTTTAGAGTTCCAATGCAATCAGACACAATGAGGTGTCATACAACCTAATAGAAACAAAAGGCTTCTACTTTTACAAAATTTAGGATGTCTCATTTAGTCAGCACAGGAGGGAAAACAGCTCATATCCATTTACAGCATAAACTGCAGGGGACAGTTTAACTCCACTCTAAGTTCATTTTAAAACTACACGAGACAAAGACATGCTTGCAGGGACTCACCTTGTCGGTTTGCTGTGTTTCAGATTCGAGAGATTTTCCTTGTTTGCGCCTCTCCCTCAGTCTCTCCTCCTTTTCTCCTCTCCCCACCCTTATTATCCAACACTTTCAGTTTCGATTCCGCTTAAATTGCGCTCTTTGTGAGCAGATGTGAATCACCATAAAGGGAGAGAGAGAGAGAGAGAGAGAGCGAGGAAGGGAGGAAGGGGTGGTAGGGCTGAAGAGGGAGGACAAATGTTTGTAAAACAGGAAGCTCTGACTGTACAGCAGTGGTATTTTTAGGATAGGTTTATAATTATGTCCTTTCAGCTATCATTGGCTCTTTTGCTCAGCTGCTGTCAGTCGAAGTGTTTCATAACAGAAGAGATGCAAATATGTTGCAGTGGTCATTTTGTGTCTTCTTTGTTGAACCTTTCGGATTTTAAAGTGGAAAAAGTACCCCACACACTTCACAAGTCACAAATGAAAGTTAAAAACCATCATTAAGTGACTTACAAAAGTCTTATAAACAGCTGCTTCCTCTGGAGTGTCTGGAACTTTGTTGGATGGAGAAGTTATTCCCTCATTTTGGTGTTTGGATGATAGTCGTGGAACATACTGTTTAAAACACGGGAAAGAGTCGAATGCCTGGAGGTTTCAGATCACTAACTCCTAACCTTATCTGTGTGACCAAAGCCCCTTACAGACTAACCTGAGTAGCACTTCATCCATCCGCTGTATCCTAGATATGTTTATTTGAACTGATTTTACCATTCTGTCCTTCATTTGCTGATAACGATTAACAGTTAGGAAGCTTTTCGTTCATTGGACTCTAAAAAAAACAAAAAAACATGCAGGAACCAATGATTGAACAAAGATGTGCCCCTGCAGACGACCATTTTGCTGCTTTTGCTGCTGTGACGTTGGAATTAAACTGGTTAACACATTTAGATTGTGCTTTAACACAATATATAATTAGAACAATATACAGAGGCAGAATTTTTACACTGCCTGTGTTAATGCTGGTGAGTGTTAATTAAAGAAATCATGACCGGATTGTCTTCAATCAAACTGCTTCTGTTTGCCCTCAGTTTAGTTAAATTTGCATTTGTAACACTAACCCAGAAAAAAACTGCACATTTCAACCGTCTATTTCATCACGGTTGCATTAGCTCTCTTTTAAGCAGTGTTTTAGGGATCATTTCTATTCTTTATAACATTTAAGCCACTCCACAATCTTTCTACTTAGCGTAATGTTGTACTTTTCACGTCTGAGAATATTAGAGGGTCTGCTAAACTCCAAGGAACATATATTTTGCCATCAGAGGGTGTAAACTCTTTTGCCACAACATTAAAATGACTTGCCTAATATTATATAGACCACCGGAGCCACAGCTGACTGGAATGTTGTATAATAAGAAGTATACATCAGCCGCTGTCCGTGTGAGAGTCAGCAGGTACAGAAAGTGTTTTTTTTGTCTATTTTTATTTTCTACAGATGATCCCTACCTGTTTGCACTGTCCCCTTCGCTGCTGTAATCCTGTAAATGTCCCCGCTGTGGGATTAATAAAAGCTTATCTTATCTTTATCTTACAATTAAAACTTCATCAGGTGCAGTAGTTGGGAATCATTGTCTTGACCACCAGGCAAACCAACCAGGCAACTCCTGCTAACATTGTGGACATTTGTGGAGTAAACATAAAGATGAGCTACGATTAAGGAATTACACAAGTTGTCTTTGAAGGGGTTGTTTTTCTTGGCTACATGTGACAGTCTTTATGCATGACCGACTGAATACAGTGTTGTGCTGTAGGCAGTTTTGATCATTTGCAATCTGACGAGTCCAAACATGCAGCCCGAGTTATATAGAAAATACACAAGAAAAACCAGAAGCACACAGACCCTCTGGTTCCTTTAATAATTTGAGTCAACACAACATTTTACTCACTCAGCTCACGTTTTTCCAGTCTCAAGTGGTCTGAAAAGAAAAGCTGGAAATTTGAAGTTGAATTAATTTGAATTTGACAAGACTTAATTGCATGAAGCTATCAAGAAAAGATCAATGGGTTCCAATAAGTTCCTGTACGATGTTGTACAGTGTTACCTCATGATCGGTATGACGACACACTTATGTCTTGTTGTGTAATTCATTCAAGCTTTATTTCCACCTCTTTCCCTTTTGTCCAACCTTTTCTGTGAAAGCGAAACTACAGGATTTCAGTAACTCTTAGTAGCTTCTCTTGGAAACAAATCAAATTCCACATTCATGTTGTTAAAATGATGTAGAGCGTCTGGAAAAAAATAAGTCTGTGTTTGAGCTGCTCAGACATGCTCAATATCATTCGTATGTTTATTGAGTAATCTCTTCAACCTAAACACACAAGTAGAGCAGGATACTATGGCCTGACTCACTTGTCACATCCTTTGCGATTTGGCAGCTGTATAACAGTTCCCTCTCATTAAACTAACTTTGATCAGGGTGGAGTTTTAAATTGCATTTCTTTGTGCGTGTTTGTCCAGACTTCTTGGTAAGGAAATAAAGGCTCAGTATCCATACCAAAGGTTCATGCATATTTTATTCAAGAGTAAAAAAGTGGATCGTCCCATGGGGCATGCTTACAGTGTTAGTGACTGGGGAGTCAAAACAGAAAGAGAGCAGAAAGAGAGAGAAAGAGAGATAGAGATAGAGAGAGATTGAGAAACAGAGAGAAAGAGAGAGAGAAAGTCAGAACCGTGGCACAATTTCTATGGCACAGGGTCTCCCAGGGGGGTTCACCTCTCCCAAAGAAGCACAAGATCAACCAAGGAGCAACGCAACATGAAGAGCAACCAGCAGAGAGAGAGAGCTTAAATATTAAGAATAATGTCCATAATAAATAGAATCATAATAATCATAGAATCATAAATATCATCAAATAACAAGAGGAATCATCAAGAATAATGATCAGAGAGAGTACACTTTTTTCCTTTAAATTGTGACGGCAACACACCGGCTCTTCTGTTAAAATGTGTCTGCTGCTTTTTGCCTTGAACAGCGCAAATTTTAACCATGCAATCATGCTTTTGGCTGCCTGAATGCCTGTGCCTTTGTATATAGTATGGTCATTCATCAATGCTAGTTTAATATTTGTTTATCGTTATTCATATTTATCATTAAAAACAACTCCTGTACATCGACAAAGAAGAGAGGAGAGAACGTGGACTTGACACTTTGAATAGAAGCGTACTGTCATTCTGTACAGCATCGAAAAGAAACTGGAAACACGGGTTGTGAAAAAGAAGAAGAAAAGAAAATGAAAAAAAAAAACAAAAAAAAAAATAACACAAAATGAATACAAAAAATAAATAAAATTAACATTATGTACAAAATAAATGAGTCATTATACCTCAGTTCATTTATATTAGCCAGAAAAACAAGAAGAAAAAATTTCCTACCATAGTGAAACACAGAGCACAAATATAATCTTCACATTATTATCAAAGAACTTAACTCTGCATGCACTGATGCGTTAATATAAATGCTTTACAAAGACCTTTTTCATCTGACTTCTTCTTGTTGTCTTGGCTGCTGCCTTCACCAGAAGAGTCTCTGTGAAATATCATTTCCTGCTCTTTAGGCCAGAGATTCCCGGCCATTGCTGCTGTTTGGTAGTCGACAGCCAACACGGGAAGAAAGGAGGATGTAGAAAGAGGATGAATAGAGCATGACTTCACATTTTAACTCCCCCCGGCTCCCTCACGTACATAAAGCATCCTACTTCTGCTATACTGCATCTTGCATCCTGTGACCGTATGCATCAGATGTGCAATAAAACCTCTCTATGTATCCTATTTACACGCAACAGGTTGGGAAAAACACTTCAAATGTTTTCGAGCTGGCCAGGGACCAGAGTTTTAAGAAGAGGGTGGGGGACTCCTCCACTTGACTTGAAGTGGAGAGTGCGTGCGGTGTAGTGCTACAAAAGCAAACGGGAAACTCCTCCGCAAAAGAAAAGGACAGCGAGGGCTCAGATTAGACTGCAGCTGAGATTATCTCTGCACATCTCTCGCTGACAGAAAAGCCACCGCACCGCACGTCAAAATTTTTATTCGCTGTTGCCCAGCTGCTCGCAAACAAAAAAAAACAAAAAAACTTTTTTTTTTTTTCCCCAAATACAACCGCACGGACACTTTACATGTTGAAGCATGTGCACGCACGCAGGCAGGCATATCCACAACTCTATAAAATCAACTGGTTCCACTTTCTTCTCTGGGACGCAAACAGGAAAAAGAAGCATACGAATGGTAAATGCCCCAGCCGCCTGATTGCCACCCTCTCCCCGTGCAAACACGTGACCCCGCCCCAAACAACACACACCACCAACACAGGCACGTCATGCTGACACTGTCAACCCACTGGTGATCCCCGACATACAAGGTGAACAGCAGCTCCTCCTGTTTTGCATGGGGAGTGTTTTTGGAGGCTCTCTCCTGTTGTTGTTGTTGTTGTTGTTGTTGTTGTTGTGCAGGTACATGGGAGTTGTAGTTCTCTAAATGGGGCCGATCAGTTCAGTGAAGAGATTCAGCCTTTGGTGGTAAAGTCCAGGTACGCTCATGCCTTTACATAACAGCTGAGGGTAACGGGAAAGAGGAAAGTAATTGTGTGTGTGTGTGTGAGTGTGTGATTGCATGTGTGTGCGTGTTATGTTGTCTGTAGCCTATTTAGTGTACGAAATACTGTGTCTGTGTGTGCGCTGCGTTTTCCTTGTGTATATATGCCTATGTACACGTATCTATAAATATGGTACCACATCAGTGTTGTAACTGCAGGTATGTGTCGGGGCATGTGGGAGTAGACGTCCATCACTGTATATTGCTGTTGCTGTCGGTCCCATTGGGCTCCCCCATGTTCATGCGGCCCATCGACAGGCCCACGCTGTTGACAGCATCGCGTCTTGGCGGCATCCTCTCGTTGATTCGGTCCAGACCTTTGGCCTCCTCGAAACTGCTGATCCGATGCTGTGGGGAGAAGCCTCGGATGGCTGCAGAGACAGGCAGGCACACACACAAACACACATACGTGCACACAGAGTTAATACTTATCAAAATATTTGGTAGAATCTTGTGTATCCAAACCCCCTTGGCACTTTGATTGAAATACTCAGAGCACCAAAATTGAAATTCCAAACCACCTTTTATTTACTTAGTGAGTTCTTCCAAAGCATTCTTTCTGGTTTAATTTACCTTCGAAATGCTTTCATTGCCAGGCACCGGAAAGAACATGTAGATAATTTTGATCCTGATTGTGCGCCACTCAGCTGAAGGTCACGTTAGGTTTGGATAAACAAAGTTCTCTTATGTTCACATCTACATTAATATCCACACAAATGAGCCAGTGTTCATCTGTTGTCTGAATGCTGAGCTAGGATTAGTTTGTCTGTGTGGCTCACACAGTCAGTGCAACCTGGCCTTGATCCTAGATCAGTAGTCTGAGACACCTGGTAGATAAGCCATTATGAGACACGGAATATGGAAGCACAGCTGCACAGAAGCGGTCGTCCTTAAAACATCTTTCACCTCAGTGAGGAGTTCTTGACAGTCAGCCGTTTGTTCAAAACAATTTTAGCTGGAGGTTACCATTTTACCATAAGATTTAATAGTCGGCACTCAGAAATGAAAGGTAACGACAAAGGTCAAGTGTCAGGTTTTTTTATTTCTCTGATGCTGCTTCCTTTGGAGTCCATTGTAAGTCTGGTTAGATTTATGATAATGGACAGCTTTGTCCTTTCTCAGTGTATGTACTCTATGAATAACATGCTGCTGCACTATAAGATGTTTCTTAATTAAAGGGGCACTCCACCATTTTAGACCATGCAGTTCCAATTACTCGTCACAGCAATGATGATTATGCTGAATTCAGTGGCAACTAGAAACTTAAAAATTTCCAAACTGTGACGAGAGTTAGATTTTTGAGAGATTTGCTCAATTGTGTCAAAAATATTATTCACCCCAGCTTTAATATTTTGTTTTGTTTTTAGTTAGCTTGTTTTAAACTCTTCTGTCTCTGAAGTTTTGTGAACTGCATGTCTGTTCACAAAGCAAACCTGGAGGTAGCCATGTTTTTTTGTCCTGCTTTGTGTATTGTATTATCACAGAGCGAAAATGGCGTAATTTCAACGTCTGACTACCCACTTCTGAGATACACTGAATGCAAAATTAGCCTTGTAGTAGTTCAACATTTAAGTAACATACTTCTTTGCAGATAGTTAGATGAAATGATTGATGTATTCTTCACGTCTGTACATTAAACATGAAACAAGCACTTGCTGCTGCTAGCTCAGCTTTATATGGAGCCTGGTTCCATCTATAGTCAAAATATTTGCCTTCCAGAAATCTTTAAAGCTAACCAATTCACTAACTCTGTGTTGACAATTTGTGGATTTATGGGAAGCAATGTAACTTGCATTGATGAGTTAGCTGGAAGTGAAGAAATTACATTCTCCAGCACTGTATAGAAGGGTCTGACTGCACCTCACTATCATTCTGCTATATGTGAAAAAACACTCGCTTGTTTGGGCCTCTGTAAACCAAATACAATCATCTTAAGTGGAGCTAAGCCCAGGATGCAGCGATGGTGTCCCCTGAAAATAGCAACTGTGGAATGTTTTGATGGAACGTTTGCTTGCAGGGATGCAAGAGCTGTCTTTCAAGTGACTAAGTCACCAAAACAACCAAACAGGCCTGCCTTATTGATTCAAACATCTGGGAAGATTTTTTACCATGTAAGTTGCTGTAATTTGTCATTTGTAGTTGTGAAATCAATTCTGAAACCTGTACCATGTAGAAAGTGTAAGGGGAGGAGAAAGCGGTGTGAAATGCTCGGCCAATCGCTGGCTTATATCTACAAACTACATCCTACGAGTCAGACTGGATGCAAAGTGAAGCAACAGATGAGAATTAGGGCTACTTCTTTACCTTTTCAACATCAGAATCAATTTAGCTAAAACAAGTAATCATTATACAACGTTCACATCAGCTTGATGTGGTCTCTGTGTCAGCAGATGCTCCTGTACCAATAAGGAGGTGTGTCTGGAGAGACCAACATCATGTTTGAACAACGGCAACTGTCACATTACCTTTGCACACATACAGCTACAAATACAATATGCCACTGTGTTACACAGCGGACGTCTGACAACCAGCTACGAAACATATTATGTAACAGGAAAACATAGCACAAGTGATACCCATAATTTATTTGCGTAAACAAATTATGGACTGTACTTCAGGTAAGCCAAAGACAGCACTAGAGGTACGAACACAGAAGGATACGGTTAACTAAAGCGTGCAGACTAATATCTACTGTAAGCCTGTGCACACACAGTATACTACACTACACTCAACACAAACGCCATGACCACAATCTGTTCAGTAGCACAGAAGAACCAGGCAGACCTGCCCTGACATGAGTAGGCCAATTAAATGTATACACATGCCAAATCCATGTTCTTTTTCTTTATACAGGTTTTAAAGCAGGGAATTCATTCCACAGACATGTGTCTTCAAAAAGACACATGTCTGTGGTAAAATACTCCAAACACAGCGGTAGCTTTTACCAGCCTTCGACAGTGAATTCACGTGTCACACATGACAGAAGCACAGATCTGACACACGTCACCTGATCCCACCAGAGCTTGTGCTTCGGTCACATTCACTGAAGGAGGCTCAGTGAAAAGCTTAGTTTTAACAAAGATAAAAGTTCAAACGTTTGGTTTGTAGAATTATTTCAGATATTTCTTTAGCTCATTGCATTTATTTCTTTTCATCATCTCAGGGGTTCGTGTTCTGCTCTGGCTTGTAGAGAAACAGATTGATTGCATGTTCTTCTTTTACAGAACTACAGTGCCTATGAAACATAGAGAAAAGACTAACACACTGCAGTCTATAATAGGTTTGAGTGACCCTGCCCACCTTTACAACACCCACTCCCACCCACAGCCCCGCTCTTCTCCTGTGTGTGCGTGAAGAAAATGCTTTGTGTGTTGTGTGTTGCATCTGTAAGTAGATGTTTGTGTGCTTATGGGGAAAAAGTTGTAGTGGTGTCTCCTGTTTCCCAAGAGAAGGAAAAAGAAAAGTTTGTGTATGTTAGTGTATTTTAATGTGGTGGCTTCAGCGTGCGGCGGTTTAAGGCTTTGTTGTGAGCGCTGATGCAGTTAGAAGAGCTCAGTGCATCGTGGGTAGGAAAAATCTATGACCTTATGAGCATGGGTTGCTGGGAGCGCAGCCATGCTGCACACACACACACACACACACACACACACACACTCACACACGCACATGTGCACGATGTGCACACACATACACACACGCGCACACACACCTACACACACACACACACACACACACACACATACACACACACACACACATACATACACACACGCACACATACACACAGTGGAATGAGTGGTATTTTACCTTCTGCGTCCTTAACTGTCTCGATAGCTTCTATGGCCTCAATGGTAGCTGAAGGATGGGCAAAAGAAGAGAAAGAAAGAAGGACAGGAAGAGAAGATGACAGAGTCCGAGAGAGAAGATGAAATACAAAGAAAGAAGGAGGAGAAGGAAAACGGAGTGAAGGCTGAAACATGCTTCTGTGTAGATAATCATCTTTGCTTCAGGATGCAAAGAAGGAGTGTATGGGTGACCGTAGCTCACTGAGGAGCCTCCAGGATCCAAAACACTGGTTGGAAAAAAAAGTTTTGCCCGTACTTGGGTTGATCCAAAACCAAACAAAAGAACGTTCATGAAAAATGAAGTAGGTTGAAGAGTGACTTTAAATGGGTTATATTGACCTCTCAAAACATGATATGAGGCGTCACGTTGGCTTATAAGGACCGTGAACTGTAAACCTCAACAGCTGGGGGCCTTTAACTTTGCCCCCAAAATATTTATATCTTGATATCTTTTTGTCTACACGTTTTAGTTTGGTCAATGCAGTTTAAACATTAACTACAGTTTCTGTTGGCAGACACTGGTACAAACGGGTGCACATGATGCTTGCAAATTGTCAGAGTCAGGGGCATGTTTCAGGCTTTTAACATGTGAGGCCGTCAGAGCAGCACTGAGACCAAGGCACCTGGTGTTAGCATTAGCTGGTGTTAGCGTTCACTCGCACACACACATACAGTTCAGCTCTGTGTCCTCTCTGTCTGGAAGTATTTGTACTACTGCCCCGTACTTTCTGTCATTCTCTGGCTCTCAGTCTCTCTCTCACGCTCACACACATCCAGCAGGCTGTTAGTATCCTCAGCGCTGTTGAGGTGAGGTGAAGAGAATAAGTGAGTCAGTGAGGCAGAAGGATGAGAGGAGAAAAAAACAGCAGTAGAGGAGGAGAGAGGAGGAGGAGGAGAGAGGGCAGGAAGGAACCGAAGGATGATCCAAAGCACATATTTAAACTGTCTGTGTGTTCTTGTGCTTTTTTTTCTTTTATAATATCTGTGTCTGACGGTGTGTTCAGGATTAAGTTGGAGAGTGTGTGATTGTGTGAAACACTCACCACTCTGCAGGGTCTGTTTGCCACCAGACAGCACTCCGCTGGGCAGCATGCCTGTCGGGGTCAGTCCCTTCAGGGTCAACACGTTCTCACTCTCCTCCCTGAGAAACAGCCAGAGACAGCATGCGTGTGCAGGACAGATGTTGGTGGATAAAAAAAAAAAGAGAAAGCAGGTGATAAAGAGAGAATTACAGAGAATTACACACTTCCCCACTTTGAGCACCTGCAAACACGCAGAAAAACATGCCTGTGGGTTAAAATACTGAACCCAGAACGCCAGTTAAAAAAGGAAGGGGATGTGTTGACAGCTGATTTCTGCAGAAGTTAAAGGACATAGAGTATTTACAGGCATCCTGTGCGCACACAGAACTGGAAGTCAACCCACCGTAGAACAGAGAACATTTTGGCCATCTTCCCAATCGCTCGAATCTTGTTTTTGATCACCTCTTTCCTCGCTGCTGCTGCACTGGCTGTAAAAGAATCAGGCACAAACTCGTAAACAAAATGTTCAAAATATCATTCATCTGTAATCACCGACATGTATTTATTCGGGTTTAAAGCTGCTGACTTTAACATCAGCGTTGGCTGCTTCTTACCATCGTAGATCTCGTCTCCGTCGTTCATGAGTTCGTCGTCAGAGCAGATACTCAGAACGTTGACCAGCATCTCAGTTACTGCAGAGAAAACAGACACACATGTAACCAGGGGTGACGCTTGCTGAACTCTGGTTACACGTCAGTTTTTAAGTACCTGAATAGGATCTTTCTCGAAAGGTAAATCATAAACTAAGACATGTATATAGATTGTTTTGTACTTTAAACCTATTTGTTAATTAGTGCACTTAGTTGAGACAACTAACTAATTACTGCATTCCTAACAAGAGTAACTGTAAATTATTGATGTATTTGACAGCATGTAGACCTCTGCCTCTGCAATAGGACATGAGCCATCATTAGTGTTACTAGCACCGTGCTACAATGTGTTATGCTGTCAGCTGTGGGGAAAAAAGTCACAAAAAGTTTAAATAAAGGCTTAAGGAGAAAAAATATGATATAGTTACTTGCCTTTGTCAGATAGAGATCAAATATTCTATCCTGTGCTGTGGCCCAGTCTGACACTATACTCATCACTATACATGCAAGCTTGGAGATTTTTCTCTCAGCACGTTACACATGGCAGAAAATAAGTAGTCAAACATGTAAAAAGACGGTGAATTATGTATAGCTGAATTGTGAAGCTCTTCTGGGTTTCTTTCAATCATTTTTGTTTTCAGGATTTTTTTTTTGCGTGGATCAGATATCATGGCTTGATAGATGTGGATTGAGTTTCATCACCTCTTAGAGTTTCCTGAAGCTTGCATGTAGGTTTTTGTATCATGTTCTCTTCATTTAGTGTTTTCGGTTCAGTCTTCCAACTGAAGCTTTAAAACACTCAAACTTTGTTCATCTGATCAGACTGTCACTGTTAAAATCTATCATGTTTCACTAAATCCTGTCAGCCCCAAAAGCTGGTTTTATCATTCTAGAGCCCTTTACAGCTCCACAGTCTGTCCGAGCCGGGCTTATATCTGTAATCATCACAACATCGCTGAACAGGACTTTATGACATTTTCATTCTGATGTTGCTGTATGCGACTGGTACCCTTTTCTCCCACGAACGGCAGCGACCATGTGAAGACGTCCATGAAGTTGGGCAGCCAGTAGGGGTGAGGAGAGCAGTTGAACTGACGGATGTTCATCACGTTGTTCTCGTATTTCAGCACCGCCGCTAGACACACACACATGCAGAGATGAGTATTTTCATCCTTGTTCAGACAGAAGACAACAATATTCCCCCATAGTTACTCCTTCAGAGGAGTCATAGGTGTATTGGTGGCCTCCCTCACTCGTCTCTTTCTTGCACAGTCAGTTTTTGAGGTTGGTCTGCTGTAGGCAGATTTACACATGTGCCATATCCTTTAATTTCCTACTGATGGATTTAACTGTACTCTAGTGGCTAGTCAGTGACTTGGAAATTTCCTTGTATCCATTCTCTAACTTATGCTTTTTAATAACCTTTTTATGGAGTTGTTTAAAGTGGTCTTTTGTCTTCTTGGTAGTGTCATATCCAGGAATACTAATGCACCATGAATGGACCTTCCAGATACAGGTGTTTTAAAACTACAATCACTTGAGACATTCAATGTCCTCAGAGAGCAATAAAGAGGAAACTTCCAAGGGAGGTGAATACTTTTTATAGTTTCTGTATAATAGACGAAGAACATTATTTTTTGTGTTTTCTCTTAAAGATGTGCTCTATGCATATAAACCAAAGTCCTCAACAGATGTTTTAAGTGTCCCTTTTAGGATTAGGACTAATATACTCTTCAGTGCAAAATAACTCTCTCAGTTCTCGCACTTCAGCTTTTTATAGAATATCTATGCGTGTTTGTGCGTGTAGGTGCCAGACCTTTGTTGTTGTAGACATCTAGGTAGTTTGGAGCAGAGAAGATGGTGATGAGGGAGGGGAAACCTGTAGTCTGACTCTTCCTGTACATACGGTACCTGAGGAAAGAGAGACAAACAAGCCGCCCACGTTACAGCTACTCAAACGAGACGGCACATTGTATATGAAAACTGAAGATTTGCTTCAGAGGTCTTTAAAACCAGACAGGGACTCGTTGAAGGCGAGACAGCCACACACTTAAAAACAAACAGAATGGAAATAGAACAGAGTCTGTGGCATGATGGGGAAAATCATAAGACAAAGAACAAGAGCAGATGAGTACAGTACTGAAAGCTTCCAGTGTTTGAGTGAAGACAGCAGAGAGTTAAAATTTTGATTTTTAGACCCACATCTATCGGCATAAACACAATCAAAACAACTGTGTGTACAATTAGTTTAAAGCGTTTAATGAACCTTACAAAATTGGACATGAAAATGAACACAAAAAGACATAATTCATCTGCACCAACAGCCACTACTGGCTGGGTTCTTGCAGAATGAACTGATTCATCAGTAATCAAAAATGTTTTATTTGCAAGTATAATCTTGATGTCCAGCAGAAATGGTTGGCTTTTTAATTATTACACTGATATCTTTCGTTTCAGTTGTCAAATGTTATCAGCACAACGCCGGTTCTTGTTTTGGTCTTTGCTTGTTTGTCCATAGCTGGCCACCATACACTGTGTCTGACCACGAGCCAATCGAATGAAAGCAAACTAATGGCTCAGTATCAAACAGTCCCTGATTGGTCTGTTTCACAGCTCTACACAGGCTGAATGTTGTAGTTTCAGTTGGTATGCAACAAATGAAATAAATGTAACTGTTTTATATTAACTGTAAATGGAACAAGAACTGCAGCTTTAGAACGTAGATGCCAATAAACTTCATAAAGAGAATCCCGAAGCGTTAGTAACCTGTGAGCGTGTCCCCGACTTTGTTTGTGAATTGTGGTGTGAGAGGGTTGTGTGTGCCAACAGCACAATCATCAATCAAGGTTGTTGTTGGTTTTTTTTTTAGCAGTGACAGCAGTGAGTGTAATTTATTTTTTCCACATTTCAAGTTGAAACCTGCTCAGTTTCATTTCTACGCTGCCGGTTATTTCATTATGCAAAGTCACCGTTCTTGATGATACACCTGCAGTTGTAAATGAACACACAGCATGTCATGTATACATTGACTACTTGTTACAGGTACAGAATCTACTCAAACAGTGTCTTTTGACCGTTCTTTGGCAAGATCCCTGGACGATTACCCAGACTACCCCTCTGCATGAGAGACAAAATATTGTTAATGGGTTCAAACGGCAGCACAGCACAGACACTCAGAGTAGCGCTGCCTTAATTGCTGCATTACATCTAGAGGATTTTCACTGGGATAACAGATGCCAGGAATGGATTTGTGGGTCAGAAAATTGTCCTCACTGTTTTATTTAGACAAGTAGTACAAACCTTCTATGGCTCTTCCTGTGTTGTTTTCTAAAAGGTGAGTTAGTTATCCTGAATTTTGTTCCGGCCCAGTCAGACAAACTCCAACAAAGCTAATAACACGGTATAGGGATGACAGGAGGAAAACTGTGGAAGCTCTTTTCCTGTAATGTGCCCATTTACTGACAAAGAAAGTCAAAACACGAAATGTCAAGGTAAGCCATTAAATGAAATGGTGCTCTCGGTTTAAGCCGAGATGAGGACTGAGCCGCGACAGTCGGTCAGCTTACCCAGCATCCTGTGCTTCATGCGCTCTGATGATTGACAGCAGGTTGTTGGTCTGTAAGAACTCGCACACTGCTGGGTAACTGGAAGCAGAAAGAGAGAAAGACAACACATGTGAGAGTGAATGCATCAGAAATGAGAAGCAGGAAAAGACACTTTGCACAGCAAACACTGTCTGTAAAATCAAGGCTGCTGTAAACCATAAAACAGATGGAAGTATTTAAAGTGTAGCAGTGGGTGATGAGTCGGCCTCTTGTTTTCTGCTGTAATGTCTGAATGCCATCAGCAGGGGGCGTCAGTGAGGACCTCAGGCCTGAGCCGGGCTCATGGCTGCCTTTGGGGCTTAGTGTACACTAGTTGGTTGGTTGATGCTGTGTCTCCCAAACATAGAAAATCAGTGTGTTTGCCACAGACAACATGTCATAACACCGACTTCTGCACACGAAGAGCGCAATTGTGGCCACACCAACTCTCCATCTGTCTTTCAGCTGCAGCTCCTCGCCTTTTCCATGCCTCCATTTTTATTATTTATTTTTATTTCCATCTTTCATCTTCTCCCCTACCACCACCACCACCGCTGCCGCCGCCATCGCCATCACCACCCTCCTCCTATGTTGCTCTCCCTCCTTCTCTCACTGTATCTTAATATCACTACATATCTGGCAGGAGTAGCCAGTCGTCATAGCAACAGAACCGTGCAATCTCCCTGGGGATTGTGGGATATCGTTTCATGCTGAAACTGAACTGTGTGTGTGTGCTTGTGAACGCGCTGTGTTTATGTGTTTGCTCGTACTCTCTCGATGTGTGTGTCTGAACTGGCCAAGATTTTCTGTCTCTGGTACAAATCCCAGTGATTGTTAGTGGATCTTGGATGTGGTGTAGCCATGCAGGAAGCATCTCTCTTTCCCTTTACCCACATCCCAAACCAATAGCCTGAAGTCCACCTAAAACTTATTAGATTCCTGATTTGTAGATGAGTGTCACATCCTGCGAACGCCAGGCGCCCACAGGACACCGAGATCATTAAAACACATTGACTGAGCCCAGAAAAGCACACACGCAGGAGCACATTTGAAAACTTGTTTCGGTTTCAGCTGGCAATTTTTAAGGAATATTGTTCCTGCCGTGTATTTTGTCATCTCTGAATATTGCATTCAGTCACACGCTTGTTTGAATATTAGGTTACTTCATATCCCTGACATTCATACACGTAGTGATCTGCCGCTCCAGTGCTACAGGATTATATTCAATCTCATTCAAGTTGATTTTCTTCTACAACAATCTGTCAGGACTCTTATGTAACATTTCCTTTTTGTTGGTAGCAACACTGCGAGTCGTAATTTTGTCCCGCTGTACCTGTAGAAATAGGAGCACCCTCTGACTGTGTTGTGGCCAAAGTATTCCTGGGTCTTCTCATTGCCAAAGTCTTCCAGGGGGTCGGCCCACAACAGGTCGCACATGGGCCCAAACGCCGGAGGCTCCTTGAACCGGTCCAACTAGGACATACAACAAACACACACACAGAGGCATGAGCTCACAGAAACAGAAATGATCACATAAAGCAAGCATCCAGAAATGTATATAATGCACACAGTTTTTCCGACGTGTAAACCGCACACAAGCACACATATAGTATAAATCAGGAGAAAGAAAGAAAAGCAAACACACAGCACACAAATGCACACACACACACACAAACACATACTGTCAGAGCGGAGCATCTCCATGGCAACCCTCACCACACAGGAGGGAGAAGATGTCACACCAGCAGATTCACCATGGAAACACTGCCATTAGATGAGGAAGTGTGTGTTCTCCTGTCTCTGTGTTCATGTGTGTGCCTTTGTATTCTGTAGTACTGTGAGCTGTATACATACATGCAGGCTTCCTTCGGTGGAGTATCCATTAGTTTCTAGTGGAATAATTTCGAGGACATGCTCTTGTACAGCATAAATAGAGTTTGTGTATGTTTGCGTGTTTGAAAGCTGCGCGTAAGCCTGTCGCATGTTATGTTTATGTTGTTCTTTTTCCTAGAAAATATATTCCATACAGTACATTCTTCCCTTTGAATGGAAGAGCAGTGACTATAGAAACTGTTAAGTTGAGACAAACTGTGTGACGTGTAGTAACTTTATTTTGGGCGCTTGTAAGCTGATTATTTTAGCCAACAAAGGCTATATTTACCTACATTGTAAAAATCAACACAATGGCTTTAGGTGATCATATAGGGATGCTGGGGCTTATTGCAATACCTACAGCGAGACGGCTTTTTTCTCCAAATCAGCTAGCTTATTTAAAACAATAACCTGTGATTATTTACTGTTCATGGTACAAGGAATTATATTATTATATCAAGGAATGGCATCACCATTTTTGCTTATATGCATGAGCCTTTGTAAATTGTGTAAGTCAGTAAATACAATTTAATACATTAAATACTCCACATTGACATTTCAGTAACCTATAAGCATATGAGCCACTTGAAGCTGAATTTAAATTGCTTATATCTGCATTTCAATTGCTCAACTTCAGCGATTGTTTTAAGAAGTTGATTTAGAATCATATCATTAGTCGTATTTCCATATATTATGCAATACATTGTAGTACTTGTAATTCTAACTCAGTTTACTGAGACACAGATCTGAGTCACTGAGGAAGAGCAGTCGAATCCAGTTTCACAAAACTCCTTTTTGGCAAATCAGCACTGACACTAAGCTAGCTACATTTGGTAAAAGTTTAACTAGTTGTCTTTTTTCATAATATGGTGTCAGATCAAAAATAGTGAAAACTGCTTTTTTCAGTCATGGTGCAAACCTTGCAGTGTCTAAAAGCAGCCAAGGATGTACCGTCCTTTTTTTTACTGTAATTCAAAAAAGATGCTGCTGTACTTTTCTTTCCCAGTGATTTAAACCTAAAAAAAGGAGTTGGTTTTTGGCCATAGAAGAGACGTTCAAGAGGAAAGACTGCACTTCGAGTTTGGTCAGAAATATAATTTAACAGGTTGTCTTTCACTGGGTCCGTTACTGGGTAGAAGGTAAATTTTGCCAGACATGGACAGCAACAAGAAGAGTTTGTGATGTGGAGGAAGCAGCAGGCATTGAAATGGAGAGTGTTGATAAGGCAGTAGTCTCGCATAGTCTGACATGTCTGACTGGCTCTTCCTCCTCTGTGTTTCTGTAAACCAATCACAACTGTCCTGGGATGTGCTAAGCCCAGAATGCAGTGATGGTGCCTCTGAAAAACTGTGATGGAACAGTTTCGGTGATTTGCACACAGGGAGGCAAATACTGTTAATAAAACTGCTAATTTACTGAAAGAACCAAGCAGGTCTGCTTTTTTGCACGATCCAAACTTTTCGACATGGCAGAGGGATACTAGTTGTCTTTCTTTACTGTCGTGAATGGAATTTTGAAAAGTGCCAAGTTTATAGCTACAGTCTACATCCAATAAGTCAGACTAACAGCAGACTAGTGGCAGCGCTGGTGCAAGAGCACATTTATGGCTGCAGTCGTCCCCGAGCATAGCGTAGCAGGCTGCTAACCATTTGGATAAATACAGTAACCACAAATAATAACTGACACTTTAGAAAGATGGACATATTAACAAAGCAGATAATTTCTTAACTAAACAATAACGGCAATATTTAGCATTATACAACATAAAACAGCCTTTAGCATTCAGTAGCAGTGATGCTAGCAGTCAAGCTGGCCTCAAGGCTGAAGTCAGTGTATCTATGTGTGCATATTAGTGATGTTTAATGGTTAAGAAGGCTATGGGGGGTTCTCTGGAGTGAATTAAGGATTTCATAATGTTCAAACTGGTGTGTCTGGATTTAACTAAAGTGTAATTTAGTTATGTAGAATAAAAAAGTACAATAGAATTTCCTCAAGCTGACATTTCCATCTTTTTTCGTTTTCCCTACAGGCAGAAAAATCAATAGTTTAATTTAGTTTTAGTGTTAAGGCTCGTCATGGCTCTTGTTGTAGCTGCCTTGCTGTTTCCAGATGACATCTTCTGCACGGTCAAACCAAAGTGCAGAGCTGTGTTTAGTGAGATTTGTAACTACTATAAAGGAAAATTGTATAAATGCTAAAATATATTTATATTTTTAAGCGATGAACACATGTCAAAAATGGGATTCTCAGATTCTAGGCCAGTACTGTTCATGCAAATTTGTATGCATGTGTGTGTGGGTCTCATCGTACCTTCTTGATGTCGTCCAGCGTGTGGATCTCTGGTGAAAGCCCCCCATGCACACACAGGAACTGCTGGTTCATCAGGGCTGCCAGGGGCAGGCAATCAAACGCCTCCATGCAGGAGTCATACACCTGTTCTGAGTACTTGATCTTACCTGGAGGTTGGAGAAGAGGGAAGAGAAATTTCAAGGCTTGAGACAAAAGTAGCGCCTGAGTGTGTTTTGACATGCTTTGAACAGCCACCACCGCTGCAAATGTACAGTCAGTCCCTGTCACTGGGAGTGCCATGTCTACATATCGCACACAAACACACTGCAACAAGGAATGCGAAGAAAAAAAACAAACATGCAGCCTTTACGCGGACAGATCTGACGAACTCAGTCATCTGAAGGCTTCAAACAGACTCGTACGGTTCAGCTAAAAACATAATTTAGTTCACTTGGGTGTAAAGGCGCTAACATGTAGGCTTTTCACATAACGCGTTATTAATTTATGCGGCCATCTCTTCTCCAACACTCCCATATGACCTGTTTCTCTCCTCTCTGATGATGTTGGATTTTGATTTACAAATGGCACTGAAAAAAAGAGGAAATGGATATTACAGTGTGTATCATATTATTATTGTTATTCATAAAAATATTATTCTTATAGGCGGCATATGGATGCATAGATTGTGTTTCCAGTGAAAAGAATCTGACCCAAATATAAGCGTAGAGGCGCTGAATTTTTTTTGCTTTATGAAAAACTGCTTTGATTTGGCAGGAATATCAATAACGACATCCAACAAGCAGCATCTTTTAAAGTACATTTCACACATGGGCATGACAATACATCTGACACAAAACAGTATCACAGGACTAAAATAGCTGAAAGGAGATCGGAGGAGAGAGATAGAAGAAGAAGAAGAAGAAGAGAGAAGGTGCTTTTTAGACAAAGAGCGTGCAGGGAAGGATGGAGGCGAGAAGAGAAGAATGATAATTTCATAAAAGAGATTGATGGGAGGAGACAGGAGAAGGAGGAGAGGTTAAGAGAGGAGATGAGGAGGGAGGAGGGGAGAGGCACGGGGAAGGAGAAGGCAAAGTGTGAGGACACGAACACGAATCAAAGCCAGTGTTGTGGAGTAGCGGTGTACAGTAGCCAGCATTTCTGTGTGTGTGTGACAGCGAGGAGTGTTTGTCAACCTCTCCATCTGCCTTGTGTAGAGCAAGAGCTCATTATTGCCAGTCCACCAGTTGTCAGCTTCTTCCACACACACACACTCAAACATTTATGAAGACACGCATGCAGTAACACACTTGTGGTGTACACACTCGCACACACGCACACACACACAGCAGATGGTAATTGAGGGCGACTACTATTCGCCATGAGCACCAGGGGAAATTAGCTTCCTCGTCCCTTGGCCAATCAGACACAGAGGAGTAAGTCCCTGAGCCAATCATTAAGGGCCAAATTAATTTGCTGCTAATCACCCACTCTCGGACAGGACGCCGAAACTCACTGGCGGAGGAGTCGGATAGAGAGAGAGAGAGAGGCTGGGGGAGGGAGGAAAAGACGGCAGTGTGGGAAAGGACGGAGGAAGAGTAGCGATCCTACAGAAAACACTTAACAGCCAGTCGATATATCGAGCAGCTGAGTGACAGAAAATTAATCCGCAACAACTGACTGTTCACCAAACCCGACCAGAGATCTGTCCAATCGGAGCCGAGCGGTCCGAAGGCGCAGCAGGTCTGTCAAGCCTTCAGTCTCTCCACATGTTAGTATACACGAGGCTGTGCAGTAAGAGTGACACTAAGGAGTTTGGAGGACGGTTTAATTGTTTTAGCTTTTCAAACTCCGCTATGAGGCTAACTAACCCATCCAAGGCCAAGGAGCGTTTCATTAGCTACAGATTACATTAAAAATCCCCGATCAAGAGTCAGGGTTTGCAAACTGAGCAGGCAAACAGGATTATGTTGAGTGAAACAGTCTGATCTTATATTTTTCCTTATCATCCGTACAGGCTTGACTACCTCGGCGCTGCAAAACAAGCACTGTAATTCCTTTACGTGTGCCTACAAACCGATGAGGTCTTTATGCCTGCGGCCAAACTGTAGTAGTTGTTTTTCATGTGTGTATCTGTAAATAAAATATATTTACCAGGATTCATGTGATTCGGAAACATGAGATTTACATGATTAATTGGTTTGTCAGAAGTGAACAAGCGTTGCTGAACAATAGCTGGCATCTGCGAAAATGTACAGAAACAGCCCTTTATGCCTTTCTGTTGCCACTGCGGTGTAAAATCCAACAGCTTTCAACGCAACTTTAACTTAAATGGCAACAAAACAATGACAAATAGTAGTTACTGGACATAAGCCCACTTCTATGGACACATAAGACTAGAACAATGTTTGTTATGTTCGCCTTTATGGCAAACTTTATGTTGCTGATGGCGATGTTAGGGAGTAGAAGATGTTTGGAAGGCAGAAAAATCATTTGCTGTCCTCTGCGAGTTGAAGCAACCAGCATTTGTTGAAACCCCTGTGTTGAAACCCACACAGCAATTTCTTAGGATCTCCCAGAACCACCTACCCTGGACTCAAAATTTATTTCCCCCCCAAAAAAACAGACCTAAAAGAGTTTCTACAAGGGCGATTCCTTAGGTCAGAACAAAGGTTCGGGATGCCCAAACACAGCCCTCAACTTCCTGCAGTGAAAAATAGCGTATAAAGGGATGTCAGAGGCATTGACACAAAGGTAGAAACAACACGGAATTTTAGGAGAGGAAGCAACTCACATTCTTGTTTGAAGGTGAAATATTCTGTCAGATGTCTACATTCATGGTTTCCCCGTAGAAGAAAGAGCGTCTTTGGGTAGAGGATTTTCAGTGACCACAGGTATAACACACACTAAACATTCACCAGAGAAGAAAAAGCAGGAGAAATTGGTTAAAGTTCAGCAGCTCCACATTTACAACAAAATCAAATTTAACAAAAAAACAAGGTAAATTCAGGATTCGGGGTGCATTTATAAAGCCTTATGATAACAACTTTCATATTGTCATGTCATGTGAAAACAGATTACACGAACAAATCCTATTGCCTGGTTTGAAGTTTAGTTTAAAAATTTGGGGAAGAAAGGTTGATGTGTGGATGGTAGTGTTGGGGTTACTTTTGAAATTTATCACTACAATAAATGCTCCTCAATCTATATTGTAACATGTTGTCTTTGACTATTCAAAGGGAGTCACGTAGTTTAATTTACTTGTCTGACATTATTGTTGCTTGCAACACTGAATGAATGTGGCATTTACCCAATACTGCTACCGCAAGTAGACTGAACCGTTAAGTCATTTTGATGGTGATGTTTGGTCTGGTAAAAACGATGAAGACAAAAATTTTCCTTAAATTTTCCACAGGCTAGTGCGCGTACCGAAAGTCTGTAGTTCTTAAAATGTTCCAGATATTTAGGCAAGTTAATGTATAGAAGTAACTGTCTAACAATATTGTATATATTCTAAACTTTGTTTTGTTTATTATTGTGGTTTTGTTAGCTAAACCTACCTAGCAATCTGTCGACTATGCCAACAATGCTAATAGGCTAATATGCTGTATGGCTAACAGTTAGCTCGCTCAGCAGGTAGCTCAGTAGGTCGAACCTTCAAGTCACTCCAATGGAAAAAATTATGACGACAAATTTTCTTCCTTGAGCTTTAATTTCCCACAGGCTGACTTGCATACCAAAAGGTTTTAGGTCTCAAACTGCTGATTGAAATGTTCCAGACATTTAGGTACGTTAATGGATAGATACCATGACCAAAAATATACAGCCTTCGTGCTGAGCTACCGTCATGTCTCAGGGACACTACACATTATAATGACAACTGCTCTTGCTTTAGCACATCATTACTAGAAGATAATTGCATGAAGCAGAGTTGGAGTTGTTTCACTTTCAGTTCCCCTCATTAAACTCAAACTGGAGATTCAAAGCTCGACACAGAGTCGTGATGGAGCCGTTACTAGGAATTCCTTCTGAATGAGCTATCCACTGCCGTAATTAATTGAGCTGGAAGCGGACTGATCATTGCCCAGGTCTAAAGATAGACACAAACAGGATTCTGACAAGAATAATCCCAAACCAGACCATTCTGATGAAGTTAGCAGGAGAAAAAATGAATTTGCAAACAGCTGTGACTGCATATGACTTATTAGTCACCCAACATGTTCTGCTGTTATCACTTATTTAACCCTACAAATGGCTCAGAGGATGTTTTCTCACCTTTGCACACCACCATCCCTGCTCTACATGAAGTCCCCTGCTTATGTGCCCTTCAAGTGTGTTAAGAAGGTGACCTAAATATTGCTCCCTCTGCTCCAAACTCACTCCGTGTCAGTGGCATATCTCATATGCCGTGGTGACTCGACAAGCCGAGATCTTTCATGTGCGTGTATGGATTCAAGTCACACTGCTGCTCTGTGCTGCATTTCTGCCAGACAAGGTAATCACGAAAATACTTTATGGCACTCACGTCCATTTTGAAGAGTCAAATGTCCAAACAGCCCTCTGAATAGTGTACCATCTCCACTCAGCCTCCATACATATTTCAGTAAGCAGCATATTGTACACTTGTTAGTGATTACTGACCTTGAATCACTCCCTGTCCTATAGGAAAGCACAGGCTACTGAATCTGAATAGTGAATGAAAGCTGATCTTAATAACGAGCCTCCCTGTCCATGAATTTTAAATTGCATCACCTCGGTACATTGTCAGACACACATTGTGTTGTGTCAGTGCTAATCTCAAGTACCTTTTGTACATTTATAATACATTAAATACAGCACAGCGCTGTAACTGTACACCTCAGTGGCGATACAAACCTTGCCCCAGGAAGGTGCATAATAGACTTAGGGGCAATGTACACCGCAGACACTGTTTTGGTTGTGAGCTCACTGCGTACACAATGCAGTGAGCGTATTGAGTGCAAATCCATAAAAATGAGATATGTCCAGGTTTGTACCTCACCGTGAGCAGAGCTAGATCCATCCTCACCTCAATACTGAAGTAGCCCCTGTCCACATAGTCCCCTAGGAAGAGGTAGCGCGTGTTGGCAGGAGATCCTCCCACTTCAAATAACTTCATCAGGTCGAAGAACTGGCCGTGGATATCGCCACACACTGTGGAAGCAGCACACAACAGTGTCAGGACTGTAGAGACCATCGCTTTCAGCTCCCACATGTTAACAATTCAGTTAACAAATGTGGCACCATCCTTGCTTCAGTGGCTCCATATGGCCTGATTTGCAAATGCAGAGGTATAATTGTCATATCTGCTGATCCAGAAACATCACTCATCTGTCTGAAGACAAAGAAAATAACAGCAAATAAGTTCTGAAAGAATCCGCTCCAGTCATTTCGAAGTTTCTGTGTAAATACTACCTGTCATCACAGGAATGTACACATACTGATTTGTAAGAAAAGGCTTTGTTAGATAGCTATAAACTATTTTCAAGCAACAACACCTCCTCAAATATGGAGATTTGTTGCTTTTCTGACTTGTTTAGTTTTAAGCTATTAGCTGGGCACAATCGGTATTATGAATATATCGCATTCGTGTGCTCTCGGAAAGTGTGAGCTGCATTTTTTTTTTACTGTTTTTCCAACGAAGAAAATACTCGACAAATTGCCTGATATTAAAATAAACATTAGTTACAGTCACAATCCTGTAGTTTCCATTTAAACACATTCATTTATGCGGTACGTTTCGTGGACTTTGTTCTGTATCAGGATAAAATGTAGCTTACTTGTATGACTAAGTTCACGCCCACTGCAATCAGACTTCTGAAATCTGGCTTTCTTGATGGAGCCTCATAATGTTTGATTATACACACACTTTTCTTATTTTCTTGGCGTCGTTTCTCGACATTTTTTCCACAGATTTGTTCCAAGTCACTTCCAGGAGTATCAGGCTGCACATGCTGAACACTTCAGACTCTGAACGACTTCAGGACTGTCTGTCTGTAAGATCTGCCAGCATACATCTTACCATCCGCCTCCCTCACCATCTGTCTGGCCTCTCCTTTCACTTTTAGTTGATGTCATAGTTCCCCTCTGCAGCCATTTTACGATGGCCATTTTGCATCTGTCTGGTCGGCAACGTCTGTCTGTCTGTCTCTCCATCTGCTTGCCATGTTAATGTCTGTTTTTGTGTCTACTCATAAGCATTCACTTTAATTTGAGCTGGGAATTGGGAGTGCTGAATGGCATGAGTGAAATTGAGCTGTACCTGTCTGCCTCCTCAGACCTGTCTCAGTGTTCTCCCAGAAGCCTTCATGTGACATCCTAAAAGCCTGTCAGTTCACATCTTAGCGATCCACCTGCCACCAGTCCATCTTAGAGGCATTTACAAAGACCCCATCAAAGTGCTAAACTGTTCTGAATATGCAAAAATGCTTCAAGGCCTGACCATGGATCTGCACTGCTCTGCGATATGAATTCATAAGCTATTTCCAATCATTGCTAACTCAGACGGCGTGTGTTTCTGGGTCAGAATCTGTAGGAGCGGAGATACCTGGAACAAGGATCAATATGTTGCTCATTGCGAGCGAGCAGGTTTGAGAACCTCTGCACTAAGCTGCTTATGATCGACTGTCTCTCCATCTGCCTGTCTATCTGTCCTCGTCCCCGGGGATCTGTACCTGTGAAAGCCAAGCGATGTTCCCACACTGCGTGGGCACGACAACCCACACAGAATTATCTCACCGCTCGCATTTGCATAAAGACACGCACACACTCGCTCAGACACCATAGGTGCATTAAGCGAGCAGTGTCAATAGGTTCCCAGTGTCTGCCTGCCTGCCTTCCTGCTTGTCTGTCTTCTCCGTCATTGTCTCGAAAACTTGTTTTTCATTTTGTTCTCCATCGATCTCAATCTCTCCCTTTCGACATTCTCCTCACTTCGTACCATTTCCCTGGCAGGGGAATACATGTAGATATTACCAAAGCCAGCGCCTGCTATTGTGAGGTGCATAAGTGCCAATTGGTTCTCTCAGTGAAGTGCGACCGAACAACAGTTCATATTAAAAGGGTGGCAGATACATATGGCAGATTAATGAATCGACGAATGGATTCTGATTAATACATAATTACTGATCTTTCTGCCTTTTGCTTCACAGCTTCATTTCTCCGTCTCTCTGTTTTGACTGTTGCTATCTGTGTCCTCACTGTGAAATGTCTGATCTATTTGCTTGTCACTCATGCAAGCACTGAAACAAACACATGACTTTTTCTCTCTCTTTTTTTTGCTGTGGATTGCCTCAGTGGGAGCATTGCAAAATGTTATGCATTAAATAACATTTTGGGATTACAGAGTATTTTCATGAGAGTTTGATGAGGAGATTGATACACTGTCATGTCTGTGAAGTAAATATGAAGGTAGATTCAGCAGTTAGCGAGCTAAAATCAGGACGCAACCTCAGGGGCTAAAGGATGAAGCTAAAGTTCCTTGAATGTCCACTTGAGGCTGTCCCAACAGTGAGTCAACCCTGTAGACTCCCATGTTTAAATGTCCAACTTTACTGGAGAAATAAACATGTTTACAAATTGGTACAAAAAAAACGTTCTGGTCTCTAAAGCTAATTTTCAAGTTCATGAAAACTGTACAGATGGGGATTTTTTATATAACTTGCCCATTTAAATTGTATCAAGGCTTAAAATTATGCATAATGAAGGGCGTAGTTGCTTTGATAGGTCTGTGCCATCACAAGACAGACCATCGCCGATCTTTTTGCTCGTTTTTGGATTAGCTAGGCGTTGGAAGGCACTGCCAGGATGCGGACAGTCAGAGCTACCATACTGAGACTCAAAACAGCTCTTTGGGAAACCTATAGGGTACATTATGGAGGGTTCTTCTATCTTTATATACACACAGTGGCTTGAACACAAGACGCAGGAGGAAATAGCAAGCCTGGCACTGTCTAAAGGTAACAAAATCACTAATTAACTCGCTGTATTTTCTTACTTTGAACAAGACAAAAATGTACCAGTAACATAAAACTGTAGGCAATAAGCAGGGGCTGATGTTTTTACATTTAAGTGTTTTGACGGATTGAACAAAAAAGATAAGTTGTTTTCCCTTGTCTCCCTTCTTTAAAGGCCTCTCCAGTGGAAAATCAAGGTTTTTTTTGTTGCCCTGTTAACATGTCCATATGGTGTTTGTTATATGCTGGAAGACGTATCATAAGCAAAATAAACTTTTAACACAATGGCTGAGTATTTTATCTTTAGGCTGCAGTGTACAGATGACAATCTAAAAATCACAGATTCAGACTTCCTGGATTTCACATGTAACCAAACTAAAGTACCAATCCTGTCTGGTTGCAGAGTGGAGCTTTCTGTATCATTGTTCTGCTTCATTCTCTATTTCAAATATGCATAGTTAAATTACTCTGATATTACAAATTACTATTGTTTATCATAGAGTAGTTTTACTAAGTTTGAGGAGAGCTGGTGTGCTCAAGCAGAAACTGGTGAAGAGAAATCTGCATATTCCAGCTGCAGGCTAACTTCTATGCTGTTTAAAGGAAGGAAGGGTTATTTCTGTGGAAATAAACTTCTGAATATGTAACTCTGACATGCTGAAATAAGTTTTAGAGGTTAAGTAGCTTAAGAGAAACTTTAAGCTAAGCTGGTGGTAGCATCATATTTACCGTACAGACATGAGGCTGGTATTAATCTCATCATCTAAGTCTCGACAAGAAAGCAAATACATATGTTTCCCATTTAGAGTCAGTGCATCATTACTCTTAATCACTACACTGTACCCGTGACTGGCGCCTCAATGTCCAACATAGTGCGCTCCTGGCGCAGGATGGCGGCGCCCTCATCGATGATGCGCAGGGCCACGGCCTCCTCCAGCCGGCCCTCCTTCGTGAGGTGAGCTTTGAGCAGGTCCACCCGCGGCCGGCCCTCTGCGTCAAACACCTCCTTCATGGTCAGCCGGTGGGCCAGGGGGAAGGGGACCGCTGAGGAGGGAGGACGGGAGTGACAGAGGAGATGGAAGTGAGAGGAAGATGTAAAGAAAGAGAGACGGAGGCAGAGGAGAATCGATGATGGAGGGAGGAAGGATGGTGAAGTATAGCAGAAATTTGAGATTAAGAATGAGGAGGAGAGTTTGAATGGGAGTGTATGGATGGAGGTGAGTTAAATTATGCAGGGAATGTGAGAAGTCGATGCAGGAAAAAAAGAGAAGAGTGTTTATTATAATGCAGAATATGATTTATTGATATTTCCTGTATTCTTCAACAAGCTTGCCCACAATTGTCAGAAGCCCTCAGTCTTCACCATTATCCTGATCACACCTCTTCAACCGGTTTCATTGTGTGTGCGCGTGTGTGTGTGCATGCGTGTGTGTTACGGAGGCCGAGGCGGCTTGTATTGAAGCAGGGGCTGCCAGAGTTATCAGGGCTGCCCGCCTCTGTTCTGCAGTAATGTCTCTCTGCCTCTCTGCCTCTGTTCTGCAGTAATGTCTTTCTTACATAATGAAGGCCCCCAGGGCGCTGCTGGGGAGGGGGGTTGACTGACGACGAGGGTGATACAGCAAGAGCGCACAGCTGCACGTGAGGAGGCACATACACACATGCAAAGACACACTCGACACTCGACACACAAGTGTTCTCAACAAACAGGCTCCAACTCAGTGGCAAGAAACAAAAGGCAGAGGTGCAGGCGCGCATGCGTACATCATGTATGGCACAATGGCGTTAACACGCATGATTGCACATGTGTGTGTGAGCAGTGCTACACACACACACACACACACACACATGCAAGCTCATAAAAGGTATTGTTATGCAGGATCCACAGAGCCTGTTGGAGCCCCACCAGTGCTAACACAGATAATGGCCTAGATCACACACTAAAAACTAGGCCTGGCTATCTCTCCCAACACACACACTTTCACTCTGTCACTTTGTCTCTGTTTGCACTCTCTCTTCTTGTCCCTTCTCTGTTTTTTTCTGTTTTTCACTCATCTTTCTCTCTCTTCCTGTTGCTGTAACAGGCCGCCGCTCTCCAGCGAGCGTTCACACAATTATCCCTCGTTACATTTTAATGTGAAACTCACATTTTATTTCATTTTTACAGTGTAAGTAGCTCATTGAAAACATGGTACCAGATTTTTTATGTAGTCAAGCCTATCCAATCAGAAACATTTAGCCAATGCTAAATGAGCCTTGATGCAAGGTTGGATACACATATACAGTTGCGTTTAACAGGTATCACCACATTATGTTTAACTATGAGGACTTTACTCATATTTTCATTTATGACTGATTGTGCGTGAACACTTGCTGATGTCTGTTTTACGTTGTTCTCAACTCAAACACCATCCAGCCATCTGGATCTTGCATTGTCCTGGATCACACTAAAGATGCCCATGAGGACTTGAGGCATTCTGAAAGCCCACAACATCCCAAACCACTTCAACCAGAGCATATTTCAGTGTGCACTAAGCCTTCTGGGAAGCACAGTGACACACCTGAATGCGTATTTGGATACCCAAAAGCATCTAATGGCACCTCAGGGCTCTATAAGATAGCTGCTAACACACCCCGTGACACTTTTACACGCTTTAAGATTGCACACAACACACAAGAGCACGCTGAGACATCCCAGGACACCTCAGGCTGCCAAGCTAAGGGGTCTGTTTTCCATCGATTTGAGAACAGCGGTTCTACATGTTAAAACCAGTTTTGCATTACAAGTTAGGACTGATTAATATTTGAAAAGGTTTGTGCACCCCGGGCTGTCAGAGAACATAAGCCAGAGAAGGAATTACTCATGCATGCTGGTATTTGTGTGACTTCATATTTATTTATAAAAGGAAACAACAGGGCCCGGCCAGTATGTGGCTAAACCTCCTACTTCACTGTACTGTAATACACTGTCCTGTACTACTGCACTGTACTGCACTGAAATGTACTGATGCTGGTACTTGTCATAAAAAAAAAAAGCTGCAAGCACAGTGGAAAAGGGGCTGCAATCCTCTTTTGAAGCTTCCACATACACATGAACTCAATCTGTGTATGTATATTTCTGGTTTGAGGTAAAACTGAGGCCTGAAGTGTGTGTGTGTGTGTGTGTGTGTGTATGTGTGTGTGTGTATGGTGTGTGTGTGTGTATGGTGTGTGTGTGTGTGTGGGGAAGCAAGAGGGACACAGTGTGAAACTCGTAAATTGTGAGAGCAGTGTGAAAGTAGGGCAGGTATGAGAGAGTGGAGAACAGCGGAGACACAGAGCTCGGGGAAAGGAACTATACTTGGGAAAACTATACTTGGCAGTTGGGGAATAGAGAGAGGAGAGGTTCAGCACCGACACTGTCAAACCACCTGACGACCGGCCGTTTGATGAGAGCACAGTTCAAGGGGAAACACGGCTGGATATTCAGTCAGATTTTGAGCGGCTCGAGACAGAAAGTTGTAAATTATGAAGAGACCACATCTGAATTTAATGTAGCAATTCTGATATGAGTTTGAGAAACGTGTTGGTGCAGCTTTTTTTTTCTTCTTCCTTCAAAGCGATCGTAATAGGAAAAAAAAAAGATTCTTGCTGACTATACTTTCGGCAACATGAATCAGAATTTGTAAGCCTGCAGCTGAACATGAAGGCACAACACCTTTAATACACAGTATTTTATATCCTAACGTGTTAATGTAATGTGCTAAATGTCATTTTTCATGTTTAATCTTCCAGTTTCATGCATAATATTTTAATTATATGTAATATTACTTTACTACCTCAGTATAACTACCAGTATAATGCAGTCTTATGTCAGTTACTTATTTTATTTCTGCAATGTGTCATATCTATATCTTCTTGCTTTTCTACTAGTTACTGCATTTACAAATGTTACGTCATTTTGTTCCCGAGCAATACCTGGCAACAGAATTTCCATCTGGATTAATTAAGTTTCATCATACTTTATGAGGCTCTATTTAACATGATTAGTAAATGAAGCAAAAAGTGGTCTATTTCACAATAAGACTGGCATTTATGCCTATTCTAGCAGCTCTATGAGACTGTGACTTTGAGCTAAATGCTAACATTAGCATGTTTAAGTCTTAATCGTGACTGATGTTGAAAACGATTCATGTTCACCCACTAAATATATATGTATCAACCAGCTCAAAAAAGCACTGCATTACTTTGCTGTACCACCTGCTACTTTACATGACGTGTAATCGTAAGTTACCGGTAATGTTAAACCTTGCATAAGTCCACATATCGACACAAATCTCTGTCCTAGCGTGATTAGGTTCATTTTGTCTACTCTGATTAAAATAACCACTTTATTAAAATAACCATAAGGTTCCATGCATGTTTTTTAGATAAGAGCTGTTTTTACCTTTGGCATGTTTCGACTGTTACTTCAGTCTTCCTCAGAAATGTCACTGACGTCTGTGGTGACGTGTCGTTATCAGCTTTATCACGCCTCCAGGAGACCACCAGCTGATAAAGACAAGTCACCACAGACGTCAGTGACGTTTCTGAGGAAGACTGAGGTGGCAGTCGAAACATGTCAAAGAATACGCATTGTCTGATTAAAAAAGAAACCTGATACCTAAATCTCTGTCCTGATCTTTGTTTTATGCTCTTTAATAAGGTACGACCGCAAACCAACCCAAAGACTCTGCAGCTACAACGCTCAGTTGCATGTCTCGATGTGGAACTGGCAGTAGGCTTTGCTGTTTCAAAATAAAAGTCATAACTCTAACTGACCAGGAACTGTAATGTGATAACTTAATTTAGGAACTGAAGTGCGTTATAGTACTGCGTTACAGACAAACGTAATCTGATACTGTGTACTTTTACTGTCAACACAAAGAACAACTAAGACTAATGGCAATGTTGTTCCTTTAAGTGTCACAGTGAAAAATTAAGGAGGTCACCAAAGGCAGAAGGGTTCATTGTCTGGACATGTTGTCCTTTTCGGTAAAGTTTCATTTCTCCTCACTGTGGCCACGTGCTTCCTCAAAGGGAATCCAACAAATACTTTGGATTTGTTGGGTTTCTCTGTATTCATTCTGTAAGGTCTTTACCTCACGAGGTGCCTGGAGATGACTCACTGTGTTGTGAATTGGCCTTATAAATAGAACCTAATTGGATTAAATATCTGTACTCAATTTTTGTCCAAATGTTTTCCACAGAATTAAAAATATCAACCAATCAGCGGCATTAGTAACTCATCATCCAATCCATGCACTATTTCTAACCCATCCATCCAATAGCTCTTGAGATATTCACTCTGGACCAGTAATTTCCACTCAGAGCAAGCCCAACATGAGAAAGTAGAAATGAGTATTCAGTATTGTAGGTTTTGCAGCCTCCTTACTGACCATTATTTTTGAATAATTGTGTTTTTTAGGAATGTTTTTTTTGAAAAATTTTTCTACCATGTCTTGTTATTGCACAGCTTTGTGTAAAAGTCACTTCGTTTTTCCCTGCCCAAACTGTATAAACATGCAACGAATAAAACTCTTGAATCTAGTTAATCTCAGCTCAGGTCTCTAATATGCAGGAGGCAGAACAAAACGTTGTCCAGCTTAGGCAGGCTTGTTGTGAATCAGAATCAGTCAAATCAAAGTATAAATAGTAACCACCGCTCACGTCTCTCAGCAGAGCTTTTCATTATCAACATTTTCTAAAAGGATCTAGTTAGTTTTCAATGACTAGATTGAATGTGAGGTGATGCTGCTTGACACGCACATACAACATGATGGCTCTGCCACCCACCAAGAAGGACTCCAGAGGTGGAAATCATTTTCTGAGTCTCTATGAGAAAATTATGCTTTGCTTCCTAACAAAGGAACATTATGTGCCATTTGATGGTGATGAGAAGAAAAGACTGAAATTTTGCGTCACAGCTTGTGCAGAACAAATTGCGCCCGCTGAGTATTCAATACGCTGAGTAGCTTCAAGCCTCATCCACCCAACCGAGAAAACTGTTGAATTTTGATCATTTACTG